CTGTTTTCTTGCCAGCAAAGAAGAGTTTACGGAGAGGCTTATGTTTGCAAGAAAGAGAATCCAGCTACAGTATTATGATTCTTGTTCTTATTACTTATGGTATTTCTGGCCCATCTTTCCACCCCAGAGCAGTGTGCTCAAGACGTCACTTGTACGTCATAAAACAGAATCAAAACAGCAGCTTAAAAAAAACAATTGCAACCAGTGAGAAGTTAAAATGGGATAAATGTAGAGAACAGTTAAAACCCTCAGAGTAGATGTTAAGCAGTTTTGTCAGGGAGTTTGAAGTGATGTGTCTTCACACTCTCCCTAAAAGCAGTTAGTGTTGCAAAGTTTTGAGTTTCTGTTAAATGTCCTTTTGCTGTGCGGTGGAAATAAGAGAGATCCACAGAGGAGAATAGCTAGAAGTTCCCCAGAGTCCATCCCTTTTCTCACTAACTGGCACTTAAATTCTCATTAACTCATTAATCACTACAGAGCCCTGTGCCCTGTAGGGATTATTCATTTTTTAATGTGAAGAGATTTGGGGTGTTCGGGCCCTAAGAACATGACAGAATTGTCTACACACACCCTCGAGGGTACAACCAGGACATTATCAGCAAACTGATTTTATTTTTAAAAAATTGAAAAATGAGGTTGTTGAAATATTTATTAGAGGAGTGTGTTGCCCATCCTAATATGGTATCATAAGATATTACAGATGGAAGGGACCTCAAGGGTCATCTACTCCAACCCCCAGGCTACACCAGCTTTGTAACTGGAAAGAGATGAAACCTTTTCACTCCAAAGATGTTGTCTTTTAAAGCTGCTACACATGCACTTTAAGCTTGCAAAGGGAGCTCAAGACTATCTCTTGGTGGCTCGGTTGGTTTTCAGCTTTTAGTGCTGGAGATTAGCACCCCGAAACTCTCAGGGGTGCTCTGCTTCTCACAATCGGCTTCCTGGAAGGTCTGTTTTCAGAGTTGCCCCACGAAAGCTTTTTCTGGGGGAAGGACGGGTCTTTTCTGATGGGTGGGTGGCAAGTGCCCCTGGTCGCACCCAAACTCTGGCTTCCATGTCAACAGCAGCACAGCTGCAGAATCCAGCATGTTTAGGGCACATCCTTCTTTTCTTTCCTCTCTCTTTCTGTGGGTCAAAAGACTAATTAGCATCCTTAACTGAATCTGTTCAAAACACAGAAGAAATACCCTTGCCACAACCCAACCCCAACCCCCTTTCCATCCGCAGGAGCTGTCCACGCTCTGGGCTCCCTTGAGTTGCCTTTGTTTTTATGGCCTTATATAGCTACCCAGATTGCCTCTACCAAGGCAGTCCCTCGGTAGAGACCTACCTCGGCACCAGTCCCCTTTCCCGGTGCGCAGTCTCTCTCCCCCAGGAACTGCTTCCAAAAGTTCAGCATTCCTTCCTTCTCCTTGTTTTCATCTCCATCTTCTCACTCCTAGACCCCCAGCTTTCAAAATGGGATGATGACGATGACTATCAGGGTGGTATTACTACGAGGTTGGTGTTTTCATCCCCAGAGTGCCCTAGTTGACTGAAGATGCTGCTGGTTTTGTTTTGGGTTCCCCAGTTGTCTATAGATTATCTGTGAGTCAAAATGGACATTATAGCAAGCCCGTCATTAGCACCAGAGCTCATGGAAGAGGTGGCATCCCTCACAGCGCAGGCCTTTTCAGTTCTGCCCATCACAGGTTAAGTGGTTTTTGTTGGGCCTCCGGTCAACATCAGGAGAGGGCCGCGAGCTAATCCGTTGGCAAGTTGGTTATGCAGACCCTGGTTCAGAGCTGCTAAATTGATATTTAAAGACAAGAGAAACTTGGGTTACAGGGGCCAGTGCTAGAAGGCTGATCCTTGAGCTCATAGTCTGGATAAAACTACACCCTCCCATGTGAACATACCCCCCTAAACTGTGCCAACCCCAGGCGGTCGCACGCTGTTTCCCTTCAGATGTTGGGCTGTCCTATTTTTGCACCCGTGACCTCATCATCAGGCAGTGGCTGGACGTGATATTTACAGACCGGTCTGGAGTTGCAGCAACGGCGAGGCTGCTGGGCGGGCCAGTCATGGGACTTGCTGCGCTCCTCTCACAAGGGGACTTGGGATCACTAGGGTGGGCTCAGCCCTTTTGACATTTCAATTCTTGCAAGCCTTGTTGTGTGTGATTTTTTTTGAAGGGGTCATCGGGCAGCCAGTGGTTCCCTAACCATGGCTGGTGGGGAGGGGGCTGATGGATGTGGGAGTTATTATGGGCCAGCCCCTCCACCCCCTCTCCCTGGCTCACTCCCTGCTAGTGTCAGCCAGGAGAGGAGAGAAACTTGGCCCCGGGCGTCCCTCCTCTGTTGGGCCCCAGCCAGGCGGTTTGTTTAGCTTCCCAGCTGGGGGTGGGCTGTGTGAGAGAATGTTTCCCCGGGAGCAGCAACTGGGATGCAGGATGGGGCAATCCAGAGCATTTTATTGGGGGGCCAGAATGGCAGGACGAGGCCCCAGATCCAGCTAGGGGTCTCACCTCTGCAGCGGCACAGTGAAGTGCCCCCCACCCTCCCATCCTGGGTTTGGAGCAGCAGATCTGCTGAGGCAGAGGACTCCCGTGGGTTCTCGGCAATCCCAGAGGTGTGACGACAGAGACTACAGGACCAAGAAGGCGGCTGCAGATCTATCGGGACAGGGCTCAGCCACGTTCCCCTGTGGGGCAGTGACTCTGGCCAGCCTGGGGTTCTCCAGCTTTTCCAGATTCTAGCTTTCCCCACTCTGGGTTTTTTTCCACGGAACCATCAGTGGCTTCTCCTCTCTGGTTTTGGTTTTGGCGTGGCTGCTCAACCATGTCCTCCCGCAGCTCCCCTGTCCTCTTCAAGAAAATGTTGATGAACCAGAGCATCCGGCTCCAGCGGCGCTTCACCGTGGCCCACCCGCTCGGGTAAGAGGGGCTGGCTCGCGGTTGGTCTTGTTGCTCAGAGGGGCGCATGAATTGTCTGGCCATACCTGGAAGCCAGACATGAAAGCTGCCATTCTGGCCTTCTGAGGGGGTCTGGTGTTTCGAGGTAGACTTCGTATGGGCATAGAGGTTCCATTTATCTGGGCTGGGAAGAAGGGACTGACAAGCTGTACCGCAGCGGGTGATGAGCCACCCAACACTGGGTTAGATTTCAAAAATGGTATTGGAAGTGAAAATGAAGCTGACTTTTATTGGTGTAATGAGCAAATTTTTCTCTTGGCTTCTTAAAGTTATTTGAAAATATTTTGCAGGAATTTTGGAAAGTTCAATGCCATGTATTTATTAATCCTAAGATTTTTCTTTTTTTAAAGTAAGGAGTTTTCACAACAGGTACTACAACGAAACACTTCAAAACCTCGTAATGAGATGGGACAATGACATATAATGCATAATGGGAATTGCTATACAGTACTGTACTTATTTATTTTATTTGCTGTATTTCTATCCCAGCTTGTCTGCAGGCAGCTCAAGCTGGTTAATTTGGCTTCCCTTTTCCTTAGTTTCTTATATTCTTAAGCTAAGGAAATAGAGCTTCCCTAGGCAGAGGCAATCTACCCATGAATGCCAGCCGAATTATACAATAATGGGGGAAATGCCTTGATTCTTTCAAGCTTCCCGCTTCTCCAAAATACTGAGCTGCTTTGGGAACAAGTTTTTAGTCTAAAAGGCAAAGTATTAGTGTCAAAATACTGAAATCCAGTCCCCCTCAAGCCATCATGATAATCTACATTATGTCCTTTTAAAAAAGTGAATTTAAGATAGTGTTGCCATCTGTCTTGTGGTAGGAAGTTCCATAAGCTAATGGCCATACTTCTTTGGGATTTCTGACAAGTATTTAAAAAAAAAGAAAAATGTCCCCTTGGTGATGCATTCATTGACAAGCTGGCTTTCATGCTTCTTCCTTGCACTGTCGCTTCCTCTTGTGACAGCTTGAAAGGAGGCAATGCCCCCGCTTCAGCCTTTACCCTCCCCACCACCACCAAACCCTGTTTTTCTCTAGTCAAGCCTTTTTGAATGGTATTAGCCACTATTTATAGGAGAGCGGCAAATTCCAAACACGTCTCTCTGGACGGGGTCAAGAATGAGGAAAGCAAACAAACGTGAGTTTTGCACGCAGCGGCTGGTCTCTTGCCAAGCGCCAGACCCCATTCTCCCTTCCTTGCTGGAGCAAAACTTCCCTCAAGCTACAGACGTCCCCCTTCCCTTTGAGAAGGATGGAGAGAATGCCTCAGGCAGCAGATTTTGGATGCTACGATTTGGGGAGCCACGGAACGGCAGCGTATTCTGTGCAATCCACCCTCTGTGTACTATATTTTTATAGCTTGTTGTTTTTATGTGTCATGATGTTGCCCCCAACTTATTGCCACCACATGAATGAGCGATCTCCAAAACGTCCCTAACTTTTCCCTATCCTGAGAGTCTCATCTTCCACCACTATCTCTTGTTACATTTTGCCCTCTAGTCGCCTCAGACTCCTGGTGCCCCCCCCATGAATGAGCAACTTCCAAAAGGTCCCGTCCTCCACTGCCCTGCTCAGCTCTTGAAAATTCAAAAGTCGTGGTTTCCTTTGAGAGAGTCCGTCCATCTCATATTTTGGTCTTCCTCCTTTCCTGCTGCCTTTAGCCTTTCCCAGCGTGATGGTCTATTCCAGGGAATCCTGTCTTTTTATGAGGAGGTGTCCAAAGTAGGACAGCTAGAGACAGAGCTTATACATACAGAGCATGTATAAGCAGAACAAAATAAAATTAAAAGCAGTTTTGAGGAAGTGAAAAGGGTTCACAGCCAAGCAGATTGCAGGAACTGTCACTGAATCTGAGTGGAGGCAGACTTTTTAGATTTTTAGACTTCTTGATTTATTTCAGCGCAAGGTTTTGTGGATCACAGTTCACTTCGCCAAACACATGGATTGAAAATATTTATCTGCAGGTTTATCTACAGGGTCTGCAGCGCAAGGTGGAGGCGGAAGCAAGCGGGGAAAATGGAATTCCGAAACGACAGTTATTAATGGGGCTGTTCTTCCAAATGTGATTGTCACTTGGAGGTTTCATTTTCCACACCCGTAGCCATCCTCACCGGTTGCCACAGGCACCATTATTTACGGCATATCAGCCGGTGGCTTGTTAGTTGGATTATTTAGTGAATAAAGATTTATTTCCATGTGAGATTTTCTGGGTATTTTAGTGAAATGATTCACAAAAGCTTACATTGCAAAAATATTTAAGGATCTATATAGGAACATTGGTTTCTGCTCTGATTTTTCTGTGAGGGGGCTGTGTTTTGCTTTTTAGTGATATAGTTGAGAAGCTTGCGGGGGATTTTTGGGTAGTGTCCAGTGCCAAAGTAATGTTGCTGGATTTGGGGGCTATTGCTATATCCTTTGGCTCGGGAGGGCGAGGGTTACTTATTTCCCTCAACCTCAGGCAACAAAATGACTGGGGCTGGCTCAGCCTGTCTGCCTCCTCCCAGAAAAGCTGGCCCTTGCAAAGCAGACGGTTTAAAATCCACAACACCACTGTGGCATGGATTGGTTCCCTCAATGGGAAGACAGATGGTCTTTTGGAGTGCCCCCCAATGGGTGGGACTACAGTTCCCAGCATTCCTCACCCTGCTCACTGGGGCTGATGGGAACTAGGATCCATTTGAAAGTCAAACCTTGCACTCCAGGCAGGCTAAGAAAGCTCTTTCAACCCAGAGGCCCCATTCGGTAGCATGGGAGTTGTCTGGAGATACAGCAGCCTGCAGTGTCAGGGGGATGTGAGAGGTTCCTAAAACCCTGGATTGGCAAGAGAAGAAAGAGGAGGGTGATTACTTTGGAAGATTTGTCCACCATCCAGCGTCAATGTTTTTTAATGTGTGCGCACGAGAGGGGAAGCCCTGAGCCCTGCCATGGTTCGCCATTGTTTGCCTGGACCCTTTGGCCCTACAAGGAGGGCTTTGTCCTTCCGGCACCATGGGGGAAAACAAACTAGAAGCCAAACCAGGATGGGTGTGGGCGTGATTTTGTTCCAGCCACTCCAGAGCAGCTCCGCCAATGAACCAGGAAGGAAGGGATGCCAGCAGGATGGGCACCCCGTGGCACCTCCAGCGTGGTCTCCACCAAGCCTACCACCCCATCTGAAGGCATCCTAAGTCCGGTTTGTAGCCAAGACAATTGGCCAATTATGCTACCGGGCCGGGCTTCAGCATTGACGTGAGCCACCGCTGGCGGCTGAAAGGGGGTCCATTGTTCCCGCATCGGATGGTGGGGGGAGGCATGGAGGCAAGGGGTGATGGGGGAGCCAGACAGCTGCCGTGGTCTGGGTCCCTCTCCTTTGCACTTTCAAAGCGAGCACGGCGATGCAGCCATGCCAGCGGTGCCCACGCCGGAGACACTCCTGCATCGGTCCCGTGGCAGGTCGGCTAAGGTAAGTGCAGAGCCGGGTCTCTTTCCTGAGGGGGTCCAGAGCAGGTTGTTGGTCCTCCGTGCTCTCATGTGCTGGCGCCTGAGCACATCATGCATGTTGGGATTCGGAACCCTGAGACCAACTCAGATGTGTGTGGGGGGGAGATCGAATAGGGCACAAGTGAGCTCTGGAAAAAGTCCTGGTGGGGTTTTGGGAGCATCTGACGCTGGCTGGAGAGCTCGGCAGATGGGAGCACCTGGCTGCGGAGCCAGCGGTCGGGGGTTTGATTCCCCCACTGTGCCTCTAGGGAGAAGAGCTGACTTGTGTAGTTGCAGGCAGAAGCTGCACAGTCCCCGGGCACCCCTCAGGAAAAGGGGGTGGGAGGCCACGTCTGTGTAGTTTATTCCTAGAAAAACCATGTAAGTCAGAATTGACTCAATGGCAGGTGATTATGATCGCGAGGATTGGAGGCTGTCTTTTCCAATAAGGTGTATACGAAAACATAAGAATTTTACAAACGGTCCATAACACATACAATAATAAAACAAATAATAAATGAAAGAAAAAATAAAGAAAGAATTAAATATTGACAGGAGGGAAGGCCTGAACATACAACCATGTTTTTAGTTGACTCTTAAAAGTGCCCAGCGTAGGGGCCGCACGAATAACCAGAGAAAGGTTATTCCAGAGGCGAGGAGCCACCGCCGAGAAGGCCCGGTTTCGTGTCCTTTCCTTCCGGGCCTCCCTCGGCGTTAGGCTCCTCAGCCTCACCTGGCTCGTGCAGGTGATCCGAGTAGATCTAGGTGGCAGCAGGCGTTCTGCCAAGTATCGGGGTCCTAAACCGTTTAGGGCCTTATATGTAAGCATTAACACTTTGAAGTCAATGCGGAAACAGATGGGCAGCCAGTGCAGCATGGCCAGAGTAGGAGAGATATGTTGGTATTTTCTTGGCGCCATCTTGGAAGCATTGAGCCTTCAAATAAAAAGTAAGTTAAATGATTTAAATCAAACCCAATCCAATCATTTCAGAGTGGTTCTTAGAGGATTGGATAGCTAGCCCCGTTGGCCGGCAGCTTTAAAAATAGAACCGGGCAGCTGCCGGCTCCCCTGTGGGAGATGGGGAATGCAGGGCCACTGAAAGGAAAACAAATCACGTTTCTCACATGACAGACAGACGTCGTCTCTTTTCCTGTGTAACTTGGACAAGCATCCTGTAAAATGAGCTCAGCTGTTGCTTTGCCAAAGCCTCACAGGTGGTCGGAGGCAAGGAAAGTGCCCGTTTCGAGGATGCCAGCTCACTCTAGAGGGGTGGGGTTGGGATGGATGACCTCCAGGTCTCCCTTCTTCCCTTGGAACATCTCTACCGATGTCTGTCACAGCCGTGGTTCTTGGCCCGCTCCCTCGTTCTGTTCCCCCTTTGCGAATTTTCCTCCTTCAGGTCCTGGGAGGGGTGCTCCCTCCCCCCCCCTTCCCATGCATCATCATCATGGAAAGAGGAACAGAGCCAAGGAAGCAGAATTGTTTGGACTAATCCATCAGGCAGATGTTCCTGGACTGCAACTCCCACAAACCCTGGCCAACCCAGCTAGTGGGCAAAGTCTTCTGGGAGTCATAGTCCAAGGACACCTAAAAACCCTAAGTTTGGGGGAGCCCCTGCAGTAAAGCCAAGCCGTTGAGTTCAGTGGGACTCACAGACAGGGAGACCTCCACTCCCATTCATATCAGTGGGTTCACTCAAGTTAAATCTATGTGGATGGGGAAGAGGGGAGGGGAGGGGAGGGGAGGGAGGGTTTTTTAAAATAATCACCTTTAAAATTAGAGATATTGAGTTTGTTTAGTCTGGAGAAGAAAAGGCGAAGGAATGATAGGAGAGCTGCCTTTAGAGATTGAAACACCATCCTGTGGACTAGAGGATGGAGCCAATGCGTTTTCGGCAGCTCCAGAGAGCAAGACCAGGTTTAAATGACGTGGAAGATTTTTAGCCATGATTGAATGGCATACAGTTATGTCAGCAATATCTTATGAGTGGGTTTTCTCTCTCTGCAGGGGGGGCTGGACTAGATGACCTCTAGGGTGTTGCTCAACTATACAAAGCTCTCGGAAAAGATTGGTCTGTTCTGAGCCATGGCAATTTAAGCTCGTCAAGTGAAGTGTGGAAGTAGAGGGTGCCAAAGGCCGGGTGATGGGTGGAGGACGGCCTCAGACTCACCCTTCTCTCCCTCTCCCCCCCCTCTCTTCCCCTCCCCCAGCTTTGAGCTTGAGAATGGCTTTCCTCCTGGCCACGGCCCCCTGGACTTGCCGGGCAACCCAGGCCTGGTGCTTCAAGGGGCTGCTCCGCATGGCCAGCGCCGGGAGTCTTTCCTGTACCGCTCGGACAGCGACTACGACTTCTCCTCGCCCAAGGGCATATCCCGCAACTCTTCGGTGGGCAGCGACATGTAAGCGTGGGGGTGGCAGCAACAGGTTTGTGGAGGGCCTGTGGGTGGTGCCGAGCAGACAAGAGGGGGAAGGCAGAGAAGTCAAGATCTCTGGATAGCCTTCCCCTTGGGAAGCCCAGTGTCATGCAGAAGCTCTCTGTGGGGCATGGTGGTGACACCACTCAACACCCGGTGAGATGTTTGCAGTCCAGCTTCTGTGTGGAACGGTGAATCTGACTAGGACAAAAGCCTCGCTTTTCCTGCTCTCTCCCTGTCCAGATTCCACCCTTGCATTGTTTTGGAGGCAAAGGGTGTCTTCTTAAAACTTTAGTGGAGGGCGGGGCTCACCCCCTCCACACCAATATGCAGGAAACACACGCCAAGGGATCAGACAGCGAGCACAGACGCAGGTGGCAGCCTGGGTTTCAGCTGCAGTCATCGCCTGGGTGCTGGTGAGGCTCTGCTTTCAGCCTGGTCGCACGTCTTCCAGTGCTGAGTAAAGGGAGCTGGACAGACTCCATAAAGGGACCCAGCTGCTCAGCTACTTCTGTTTAGCAGAGGGGCTACTCTCACGTTTGCAGGGTGCATTAGATTAATCCAACCACAATCCTTTGCAGGTTATACAGGAGGAACACACACACAGCAAGCCCCCCTCGTGGATGCTGAAAAAGCGTGGTCTCTGGCTCCCCCTAGTGGCCATTGTTAGAAATATATACAGTACCGTATTTCTAGGATTTTATTTCAATATTGTTTTGACGTGTCTGAAAAGTCAACGGATACTGATCCCACGGATGGGGGTGGTGGTTTATACTTCTAACATGTTTTAATTCTCTCTTGTAGGCACGGAGAAGACTTGATCGTCACCCCCTTTGCACAGGTAGGCGTTTCTTCCACCACACGCTTGAATTAGAGGGAGGCAGTGGCCAGGGTGTGGACTTGCTGCCTGTTTGCACCGAGAATTTTGGGAAACTTTGGATTAGAAGTTCCAGCATCCCCACTGCGGCTTCAAGGGTCTGGGATGTCCAGTCCCAGAATCCTCTTCCCCAGTTTTCTCTGTGGCCCACCTCCGCCATCTCAAGAGCATAAGAAGAGCGCAGTGGCAGGATCAGACCAAGCCATGGCCAACAGGGCCGGCCTCCTGATCGTCTTGGAGGCCAAAGACATGACGACACATCTGGGTGTGTGAGTGTCGGACTCCAGATCTAAGGGAGGAATCCCTTGAATCTGTTTTGCACAAGGAAACCCCACAGACCCCCATTTCTCACCTGAACCCACTGCCTTCACACATTTCCCTGGTTGAATCCACCTTTGAAGGCACAAGAATTGGGGCTGCCTGTCTCCTTAGTGCAAACAGCTAGCCAACAGTCTCAGGTGGACGATGCTGGGGGCGTTGGTGCAGGCTAAAACCTGGAGTGGATTTGCAACACCCCTGAAAGTGGAATCTACACCACCAGGGGTTTGCAGGGACATGTTGGCAGGGGGTGGTCGGACGAGATTCCCATGTGTCTGTGAAGCTAATGAGTGGGTTGGGGGCTCCTCGTTTCCCTCCCCCCCCAGGTCCTGGCCAGCCTGAGGACAGTTCGTAGCAACTTCGCCCTCTTGACTCACCTGCAGCAAGAGAGGAGTGGCAGCAAGTGAGTGAGAGAAGAAAGGAGAGGGCTGGAAGGAGGATCTGGCCTTCTCTCTGCCGCTTCACCCAAGAACCCCCTGTTGGGAGGGACTGGCTATGAGAACTGGGTGACATTTGCCCCACCCGTCCCTCTTTCTGCCATTGTGAGCTAGAGAGGCGCTCAGCTTTACCTTGTGTTTTCCAGGAGACCTGCTGCTGCTGCCACCTGCTTCCCAATGCCCAAGGTTGCTCTGTCGGGTGAGTGCCTCTGCCTCCTGGATCTCTGTGGGCTGCTCCCCCTAAGCGTTTTCTTCCAAGGGGCAGTTAGATCCACCCTGCAAGTTTAGGACTTGTAGTAGCAGGAATATCCTTAATTCTTCTTTATCCCACAATGGGAGGGCTGTAATAAGAGTCCAAATTAATAATAAAAAGTGACTTTTCAAGCTTTGGATGAAGACACTGTGTGGCAGAGAAGAGACACCCTGGTTTCTTTGGAAAGAAAACTGGTGTGAAAATATTACAGAGTTTTGAATTTCTGGTAAAATTTCCTTTGCTACACAGCAGAAATTCAGAGATTCACAGAGAATAGCTTTGAGTTTCCTGAGTAGTCCACCCGTTTCTCATCAACAGGCACTTACAGTCTCAGTAACTCACTCTGAAACATTTGTACAAGAAAGAATAAAAGTGTTCCGCTACTTACAGTGGTGAACAGATCAAGAGCAAACAAACTGACTCTGAATATAAAACCAACATGCTCAATCACACTTAGGTGTGTTCCTCCTCCTCCTGTTGTGTTATTGTCCATGTTGTCGTCATCATTGTCTGAATGAGAGTGATGTTGAAACTGACCTTTCTCTTGAGCGCGAGATGTTGGACGTGCCTGGCTGTAGGGTTGAAGCCACCCACCCGCTCCTTCAATTATGCCCCTTCCTCTCCATAGACGAAGCCTACCAAAAGCTGGCAGTGGAGACGCTGGAGGAGTTGGACTGGTGTCTGGACCAGCTGGAGACCTTGCAGACCCGTCACTCGGTCAGCGAGATGGCCTCCAATAAGGTGAGGGACCCCCACCCAGGAATGGGGGAAACGTGGCCGGCAGTCTTCTATTGAGCTGGTCCCCATAATGTCCACTCTGGCTGGGAGCAGCAGCTTGGCCCCAGATTCCTTGGTTATTGTTTGGTGCTTTTGAGACCCTTCCAAGTCGTGGCGACCCTAATATGGTTTTCCAGGGATGAGAGATGTCCAAGTGCTGATTTTTTACCACTCCTGCCCCCTAGTGAGTTTGGACTTTCTGTAAAAATGGTCAAACGTCCTCTCTGCAAAGAGGACAGCAGTGTGCAGGCCCTCTTTGGGCTAGAAGTCAAGGGGTGAGGAGTGAAAAAGGCCTTGGGGAAATTGACCCAAAACTCCCTTGAGCAAGCTTTGAACTGTAAACCAGCGACTGTGGAATTCCTTGTGCTTTTCTCCAGTTGCTTAAAACTCCTGCTGAGCACCTTCTGCCAGTCTCCAGGCTTGGGGGCAGTTTCTGGAGACACCACTCTGCTCTGCGCCTGGGTCGGTCGTATCCAGGTACCACCAGGGGGAAAGGAAACCTGTATCCTTCATCCCTGAAGCTCCGCCAGCCAATGGGAAGGCCCAGCCAGCTCCTGCCTTTGCAGGTGCAGCTTCCGATTGGCCAGCTGTGGCCAAGAGGAGGAAAGGTACCAGGCAGTGATGCTGCAGGAGCATCCTTGGTCCATGCTTCGGCAGGGATGCAGGTAGAGAGGAGGAGGATGGACCAAAACCTCTCAGTCCTGGAGGGTGAGAAAACGGAGAGAAAAACTGCAGAAAGAAGAGGAGGGTTTTTGGCTTACAAACAAATTAGGCTATGTGGCACCTTTGCCGTGCCTGATGCCAGCCTTGCACCGTTGGTTGAGTTCCAGGGGCTTCCCTCCCTCTCCACAACTTGTTGATCAAGGATGAGGTGTTACAGTCCAACGATGATTTTTTTTTACAGATAAAGTAACTCCGCTACCTTTTTTTGGGGGGGGGGGAGGTTTTCTCTTTCTCTTCCAACATCCTCCACAATCAATTAATAAGTGTGTTTTTGACCCATTTTGTGAAATACGTCTTTATGTGTAGTCTTTGGCCTTTCTCGCCAAGACTCAAGGCACTTCCTTGCAAAGGCAAATAAAAGCTATGCAATTAAAATGCAAAACAGGAACAACTTTGAAGACAGAAACGGAATCAAAAGCTCAGTCTGAAGCAGGGAAAAACATAATTTAGAAACACATCAGTAAAAACAGCACCCAACTGGTAAATCACGCAGCTTTAAAAAAAAGAATCACTGAACATGCTAGATGATAAATAGGAACCTTAGTAAATTTGTGAGTGAAGCTGGCCAGCTTTGAACCTGAAATCCCCATTTTGTGTTTGTAACCTAAAAGCATTTTTGGTCTAAAATCTAAAGATAGGGGAAAGAGGAAGAGGAAGAGGCTGACTGCGGAAACCCAGAGCCTCTCTAGACCAGACATTGATGCTGGTTCCGTATTTAGGAGCAATGCACCCTTAAGTGAAAAAATAGTTAATTACCCCCTCGTGTCACTTCTGACTTATGCTAGCCCAGTGTATTAAGCATCTCCCAAAATTTAACAGCCCTTGATCAGCTCTTGCAAAGTAGCCAGGCCATGGCTCCCTTTATGGAGTCAGTCCATCTCACATTTGGTCTTCCTCTTCTCCTACTTCTCTCAGCTTTTCCTAGCATCTTTGCCTTTTCCACTGAGTTTTGTCTTCTTGTGACACAACACAGCAGCCTCAGTTTAGTCCTTTTTGCTTCTAGAGAAAATTTGGGCTTGATTTGCTCTAGGGCCTCCTTGTTTGTCTTTCTGGTGGTTCTTGGGACCTGCCTGCTTCCTCCAGTGTCCAGCATTCACATCCCTGCACAGTCACTGGGAACACAGCCCATTGGAGGATCGTTGGCCTTGGTCTCCTACCACACATCTTTACGCTGGAAAGCCTTTTCTCCTTCTGATCGGTTGTTTCAATTTAAAGAGCGCTTGCCGTAATCAGCTTTAGAGCTTGCTTTCTTTTGTAATTCATCAGCTGGGAGGTAGGAACAGCACTGAAAGATCTCATTTGCCTGGAAGGATAAGAATTGTTGGAGGAGGAAATACGTTTTTACCTTAAGCTGTGATCTGGCACCCTGCCAAAGTGTTCCAGAGTGCACTTCCCACATGCTCAGAAACCTTCCTCTGCTACCAAGATGCTAGACATTTGAGGGCTAGAAACCCGTTCTCCCTTTTGCTGTAAATCCTCTGTGAAAAGATTCCTGCAGTGGTGGTTAAGTTTTGGCCAAGGCTGTGGGATGAAGAATTTGTGTCTTCATGGTTCAAGACGTCCAAGGTGCTTCCTCTCATTCTCTCCTGCTTTCTGTCTCCAGTTCAAAAGGATGCTCAATCGAGAACTGACCCACCTCTCGGAAACCAGCCGTTCTGGAAACCAAGTCTCCGAGTACATTTCCAGCACTTTTTTGGGTGAGTTGCTGGCTTTACTGTTTCCAAAGGTGGTCCTTGGGAAACACTGTGTGGCTTTTCAAAGTGTGCACGATGTTCAGGGAGTGGGTTTGCCGTTATTGCCCCCACCAGGGAGTTTCGATGACCAAGGGGGAATTTGAACCCAGGTCTTATGAGCCCTAGTCCATTATTTTATCCATTACAGCACACCAGCTCTCAAAAGATAAGATAGAGGGTGGAATAACATATCCGGGAAAAGAGGTTTTGTAGAAAGGAGATTCACTTATCTGTCCATATTCCAGCTCTGCCTGTAATAGTCCTTGGCTGAGCAGTGGACGTTAAAATAAACAAGATTATTTTTTCTGTGTGATACTATCAATTTGGCTGCTGTTGCCGTTAATCTTAGGCTTTGCTCATATAAATGCTGTCCTCTTACTCTGGTGCCTCCTCTCTCGGCTAATTCAGGATTTCGGCCAAGGGGCTGGAGTGATCTGTACATTTCACAGCTAGTCATTTTTGTATGGGCAACACCCATACAAAATGTGAGGGCCAGGCGCGTGCACCCTCCCGTGAACCCTAGAGGGAGACACCCTGTCCTGCAAACCCACCCACCCCTCCTCAAATTTTATTTTCTTGCAAAAAAACCCTGGTGTGTTACGTTTCCTGGAGAATAAATACCTTAAGTAAATCTTCTTTGCACCCTCTAGTGGCGAAAATTGTTAATTACTAAAATTGTTTTGAGGCTGGGGGGCAGACAGTGGTGCTGAGAACCCCTAAAATTAGGATGAAGTTCCCTCCCCTGGTTGACAGAGATCAGCACAACTGTAAAACAGCTGCCCTACGGCCCCACTTCTGTTGCAGAGTTTTGAATGTTGGCAAAATTCCTCCAGCTGCGCAGCAGATGCGCAAGGATTCACAGAGCAAAATAGCTTCAAGTTCTCCAGAGTATTTTCCCTCAGAAAATAAAAATAAAGACAACCCCATGCCCTTTGCACCCTGACCTTGAAATCTCTCCTCTTCTTCACCAAGTATCTCTGTCCCTTCTCTGCAACGTCTCCCCCGTCAGCGGCTTAAAACATCCAATCCCTCCCAGCGATGTCTTAAAAACTTGGAAGGGCTGCTGTGTTTTATCCCCCCACTCCCGTAGGTAGGGGAAGCACCTCCTGTTGGCAAAATAGATTCTCCCCTGGTTTTTTTTCCTCTCCCAGTGCCCCGCACCGCTGGGTTTGCATTTTTCTTGCCAGGTGTGTGTGTGTGTGTGTGTGTGTGTGTGAGAGAGACAGAGAGAGAGAGAAAGAGAGAGAAAAGGGGTAAAACGGGGAAAGACCCCATCTGGTCTTTGAAGCGTTCCTTGGAGGAAAGGGGGGGCGTTCCGCCACACCTTGTCTCCTGTTCCCATGGCATTAGTAATATTATTAGCTTCCTTGACGTCAGTCCTTCCATCTTTCCATAACATTGGGAGGTGTTAAAGGGGGGGTTGGGTTTCCTTCCTTGGAACAACGAGAGGCGCACACTGGGGGTGTTTGTGTGCCTTTTCCCATGCACATTTAACTTTTGCAGCAGCTGCTGCACCAGGTGGGGTGTGGGGTTGGTATGGGGAGGGAGGGTCTTTCCCGACAGCAGGGGGGGCACGCTCAGCTTGGGAAGGAGGTGTGCCATGTATTGCCTGGGAGGAGGGGGCATTCGGCCAGTGCCTCTCCTTCTCCTTCCTTCCCCTTCTTCTCTTCCTCTATCCCAGAGCAACTTTTCAGATTGTAAGCTCTTTGGGGCGGGGACCCTTTCCCTCCTTCCTAGACCCCCCCCACACGCCTTGATTCCTCGGGGCGGCGCAGTGTTCGAGATACTCGTGCAAGCAGTCTCTTTTGGGACTTGTAGGTGACTTCTGCCAAAGTTTCCATCCTTCCTACCCTGCAAGAACTGTCTTTGTGTCGTAGAAGGTTTGGGAGCATCTGGACTGTATCGGTGAACAGCCATTCCAGGGCATTTATGCCGATCCATGGGATTTCAGCCACCCTGCAATCTCTGGGGCCTTCCACTTGGCTGTTGTAGCTTTCCAAGGGGGATCCTTTCTCCCTTCTGACTACCTCATGAGAAACCCTGCTTTGGAGATCCTCCAGGGGCTTCCCTCTCCCCCCAGGACTCAGGACGTGCTTCATTGCCAGGGTCTCCTCCTCTGCTTTCTCCCTCAGACAAACAGCATGAGGTGGAAATCCCAACTTCGGTCGCCACAGAGAAAGAGAAGGAGAAAAAGAAGCGCCCGATGTCCCAGATCAGCGGCCTGAAGAAGCTCACACACGGATCCAGCTTCAGCTGTGCCACCATCCCTCGCTTTGGGGTCAAGACGGACCAAGAGGCCCTGCTGGCCAAGGTGAGCGGATCTGCAGGGTCTTTGGGAGAGGAGGAAGGTGGCCTGATCCAAACTCCGTGTCGGTGCGTGGGTCTGGTCTGTAATTCTACCCAAGGGCAGGATGATGGTCTTAAGCACAGAGCCCAACATACGGAGTCCATGGAGGGCTACTAGAGATGATCTAGTCCAAGCCCCTCCACATAGGAACATCCCTGCTCTCACCAGTTTCCCTTAAAATTAGGTTTCTGGGCTGAAAAGAGAACTTGTACTCATTAAACCCATCAGTTTGCTTGGAGAGGCAGAGGGTGCGTTTTGGGAAAGAATGCTGGTGGTGAAGTTCTTCCCAATCATGGCCCCCATGACTGATAAAAAAGAACACCCACTCCCGTCTTTCAGGAGCCCAGGCAAAAGCTGTTTCCTCGGCTGAACCTGTTGGTGGGACTAGGTTCCTTATGATGCTAGTCTTAATTACACCCTCCTTTGTTATCATGGGGTTTTAATCTCTTCCTCTAATCAGATTAAAATTGATTGGAGGAAAGAAAGAAAGAAGAGAACCCAATGAGAAGGAGAGGCAGACATGGAAAAAAGTGGGTTGGGAGAAGCAGCCTAGAGAGAAACCAGGATCAAAAATCAAAATGGCATGGGGTGGAGGGGTGAATCCCTGGGGAGATGTATGCTTCCAAATAAGGATTTTAAATGTTACAGAGTTTTGAATTTATAGTACAGTTCCTTTTGCTACGCAGCAGAAGTACAGAAACTCACAGAGGAGAATTGCTTCAAGTTCCAACCAAATAGTCCACCCCTTTGCCATTAAGTGGCACTTAAATAATATCACTCTGAGACATTTATAGGAGAAAGAATAAAAGCGTTTCATTGCTTACAGTTGTAAACAGATCAAGAGCAAACAAAAAAACCCCTCTGCTTCCATCAACCCACAGAGAGGGAAAGAGAATACTCAGCAGGGTTAGGCAGGCCTCTCTTTTAAATCAGAGACAGGCAAGGAACAATGGGTTGGTGCTGAACAGAGTGACAGTCACCCCAGCCCAGGAAGGTCTCTCCCTTGGGACTCAGACCCAAGGCAGCAGACCCCCTGGGGGGTCCCGAGCAGGCCTGCCGTTCTGTCCCTCTGCAGCCGGAACCCTATCCGTGTTTCGTAAGGTTGGCCTAACTTGCCGTAGCTCATTGTGCCTCATTGCCAGGGTGCCAGGCTCACGACCAGGCCCATGGCCAAGGTTACCCCCTGGCATCTCCTCAGTGAGCTGCCATGGGCTGTGAGAAGTTCTGCAAACCTTGAAGGCACGGCGACAAGATTCCGGCCGAGGACTGACTTCTCCCTCAAGCACAGAAAAAACAGTGGGTGGGTAGCCTGTGGAGCTGTCCCGGAGGTGCTGCTGCTGCCTGGTGATGATGGGAACCCCAGGCTTTCCCTCATCCTTCTGGTTCTGGACTGGAGCCTCCCTGAAAGGGGACGTGTGGCCATTCTGGGGAGGGTGGATGGGGCACTAGGCAGGTCCCCTGTTGCCTTTCCCTGCCAGGGCCCTAGGTGGCAACTGCCCTCCTGCTTCCTCCAGGAACTTGAAGACGTGAACTGCTGGGGACTCAACGTCTTCAAGATCGCCGAGTACTCCGGCCACCGCCCGCTGACGGTCATCCTGCACAGCATCTTCCAGGTGACTTGCCTCTTGTCTGGCAGAATCCGCTCCTGACGGTCCCTCTGCTTTGGTGGGGAGATGATTCCCGAGGAGTGCCTTTTATTTTATGCCTTGGTTCTATTAGCCTGCTTTTCCTCTGGGGGGAACTTGAGGCCACGGGAGAATTGCTCTTCTCCACCTCCTTTGCGAGCATGGTCAGGCTAAGAGCTACTGGCCTTGCCTTGCCTCGTGAGCTTTGTGGCTCAGGCAGGCTGTGCCATAGACCTCCCAGCTTTCCAGTGGGCACTTCAACCCTGACACATGCCAACAGAATGGTTGAAGGAGTTGGGGAGACAAGTCGAAACAGAATGAGGCCAGGGTGAAGATTGAGTGCGTCTAGAAACTATGGCTCAAGTTCATGGGGGGAACAGATTGAATGGGCTTAAGCGGCAGGAAGGTATGTTTTGTGGACCATCAACGGCATGAGAAGTTGGACCTGGGTGGCCCCTCTCCCTGAACAGAGGGTTGGCTGGCTGGCCACCTCTCTGAGATGCTTTAAGTCCAGTTTTCCTGCCTTGAACAGGATATTGAACTCAGTGGCCCCCTTCCCGGTCATCTGCGTGTCAGTTGATCCCCATGGAGACGTTAGTAAAGAGATGGGCCATCTTGGGAGGCTTTTTTTTTCTTCCAGACACAGTGACCCTCGATCAAGCCCACATATAGAGCAGGATGTGATTTTTGTTTTTAAAAAAGCATTTTTCATTTCAAAGAAACCTGGATTGTTCTGCTAAACAAGATGTGGGGGGCCCACCTTGTTTTAGAGGAGAACCATATCTCTAGAGGAGTGGTTCTCCCATTTTTGGGGGTCAGGTCTTGAAAACAGTACCTGGGAAAGTTTGTTTGTTGGGTTTTGGTTTTTTTTGTCAGACTTGGTGGGGGCGGCAATACCGGTGTTGGGCCAGGATGTGACCTCTTGTCTTCACCGTTCCCCTCCATAGTGGGGAAGGTGTGATGTGTGAATGGACAGTCAGCTGATATGAAGCGAGAAACGTGGGCCTCATGGTGTATGTCCCAAATCCACTTTCTGTAAATACACTTTTATAAACAAAGTGTTTAGATCTGCTTTTCCTCATTTTCCAGGAGAGAGATCTGCTCAAGACTTTCCACATCCCGGTGGACGTTTTCATCACCTTCATGATGACCCTGGAGGACCACTACCATGCTGATGTGGCTTACCACAACAACATCCATGCAGCCGATGTGGCGCAGTCCGCCCACGTCCTACTCTCAATGCCAGCTCTGGAGGTGGAGGAGGAAGATCCGAGGGGGGGAGGTTCCAGAGAGCTGGCATGTGGAGAGAGAGGATCTGCATTCAGGGGAAGAAAAAAAAGGGACAGGGTTCGAGTTAGGAGAAAGAAGGTGGGAGGAACCCTAAGAGTATCAGCCTACTGAGGGGCGTCTCAATCCAGCCGGTACAACTTCACACCCATTTCCTTCTTCCTCCTCCTATTCTGAGCTCACCCCTTCCCTTCTTCCCTCCTCCTCTTCTGTCTCCCTGCAGGCTGTGTTCACAGACCTGGAGATCTTGGCAGCCATCTTCGCGGCGGCCATTCACGACGTTGACCACCCTGGGGTCTCCAACCAGTTCCTGATCAACACAAGTGAGTTCCCTACTGGAGCAGGATGACTCTCCTGCCGCTCTGGAGGGACGCCCCTGCCGGCCCTCGTTGTGTAGGGTTAGAAACCCTTGCTTCTCTCGTGCAACATGAAGAAACCACCAGGGTTTGTTGGTTTGCTTTTCCTCCTCACATGTGAGAGGAGTACAATATTTTCTGGTGCTTGTGAGGAGAGTTCTTGCACTTGTGAGAATTTTATTTTTATTTTTGGAAGAAAAGTGGGTCTGAGATCAAATCGAATGTTGCCCGACCCCCAGAGAGAAGGACACAAGGCTGAGTCAGCCTTGAGGCAGGTTCCTGAACCCATCGGAATTGAACTCAGGTCGTGAGCAGAGTCTTGGCTTCAGCACTGTAGTTCCACCATCGCTGGGCCGTGAGTGGAAAAATAACTAACCAAGTAACTAGTTACAACCTATGATCTGATTTGCAAGTTGTTGCTTTCCGTCTGGGCCTGCTTCCTACCAGATTCAGGGTCTCCTCCGATCCTGAGTCCTGAGGGAGGGTCCGTCTGAAGTCGTCTCTGTCTGTGGCGCCTTTTCTCTCTCCCAACCTCTGGTTTGATTTCCAGACTCGGAGCTGGCACTCATGTACAATGATGCCTCTGTGCTGGAGAACCACCACTTAGCCGTTGGATTCAAGCTCCTGCAAGAGGAAAACTGCAACATCTTCAGGAACCTCTCCAAGAAGCAACGGCAAATGCTTCGCAAGATGGTGATCGACATGGTGAGGAACTGGGTTGGAAAAGGGTTGCCATCTCACCTTGGATCAGAAATAGAGCATGACAGAGAAGCCCGTCATTAGAAGTGAATCCATTGCTTCCCAAAACACGGCCAATGAAAAGGAACTTTAAAAAAACTAGTTTGCAAACAGTAATATTCTTTAAAGGAAGTTGTGGAACTTTCTAAAGGCCAGCCCTAAAGCGCACCCCCCCCCGCACTCCCTCCAGCAAGCTAGGATTTTTTCTTGTCCTCCCTTCCTCTGAATAGCATATTTATAAACTGTTTGTCTATCAGTCGAAACCTTTTTTGTGGGTTCCCACAGGTCCTGGCAACGGACATGTCCAAACACATGAATCTCCTGGCCGACCTGAAGACGATGGTGGAGACCAAGAAGGTGACGAGCTTGGGGGTGCTCCTCCTGGACAACTACTCAGATCGAATCCAGGTGAGGTTTGTGCTAAGACGAGGAGGAAAGGGTGCTGGAGATCCGAAAAAAGCTTTCACTCCTCTTTTAAGGTCAGATTTATGTTGTTGTAAAGGTTTAGTCTTCAGCACCAATGAAATAAGCGAAAGGCGTTGTGGTCATTTGGGAGCAATTCAAAACTGAGCCTGGTGGTGCTGATTTTTGGGATTTAAATAATTCTTCCTCCCATTCTGTTGCTCCTTAAGGCATCCCCAGAAGGGGGGAACTAGAAAGCATGGTCTAGCCATAGACCTCATTCTAGTCGCACAGCACAACCCCACCAACCGGATTTCAGCCATTGTTTCAAAAAAATTACAAAAACGTTGTGAACAGAGTCTGAAAATAGATCTGAAACTGCAGCAGGCGGGAGGTCGTTGGACCTTAGGAGCGCTGTCCAATCCGTGCTTGCCACGCATTGGCCCTGCCAAGGGTAGAAGCTCCTTGGGATGGAGGGCTGAATGGTGTTTTTCGCTGCTTTGTGCTCCTCTCCCCCCCCCGGCTCCCCCATCCCACAGGTCCTACAGAACATTGTGCACTGCGCCGACCTGAGCAACCCGACCAAGCCACTGGAGCTCTACCGCCAGTGGACGGACCGCATCATGGTGGAGTTCTTCCATCAGGGGGACTGTGAGCGTGAGAAAGGCATGGAGATCAGCCCCATGTGTGACAAACACCGCGCCTCCGTAGAGAAGTCCCAGGTGGGCCCCGGCAGGGGATTCTGGGCTTACAGACGGCATGGGGAGGGGTGGCCCCCCTTCCGAGGCGGGATTTGCACCTTTAAAACAAGAAGGCTTTAGACTCTTTAGAGCTCCAGAAGGAAAGCTCCTCACTCAATTGTCAACTAACTCTTTCCAGAATCCTTTTTTTCCCTTAGAATGTTTCTCTTTTAAAATTCTGATTCTTCTTTCTGAAAACTTATGGAACTTTTGAATTTCTGGTAAAATTCTTTTTTGCTGTGCAGCAGGAAGTACAGAGATCCACAAAGGAGAATACAGTAGCTTCAAGTCCGCCCCTTTCTCGCTAACTGCCATTTAAAAGTCTCGATAACTCACTCTGAGACATTGGTAGGAGAAAGAATAAAAGAGCATTTCTTTACTTACAGTTGTGAACAGATCAACAGCAAACTAACAACACGGATTGCTTCAGAAGCCTAAAGAGAGGGTTAAGGGGAGGAGATGCCGGAATGGTGCAGGACCTGAAATTGAGAGGCTGAATACTTAATGCTACATGGAATATTTTTTTTCTCTTCTGAATAATTTGAGCGTATCACAGAAGTAGGGTGAACAACTAAACAAAACTTTTGTTTTGGAAGTACAATAGGACCCCTGTATCCGCAGGGAATTAAATACCAAACACCCCCTGCGGACGCTGGAAAACGTGGATCGTTGGAAATGCTGTGACAATAGCCAACACTGCACATTGCACAGTCTCTGGCTCCCTCTTGTGGCCAGTTCTGGTAACGTTCCCTTTACAAACATTTCTAGGATTATATTCACGAAAGCTTTCACGGCCAGGATCTAATGATTGTTCTGGGTTTTTCGGGCTCTTTGGCCGTGTTCTGAAGGTTGTTCTTCCTGACGTTTCGCCAGTCTCTGTGGCTGGCATCTTCAGAGGACAGCAACCTGAGCACAGATTGCCCAAGGCCACACCAGAGCACAGGTTGCTGTCCTCTGAAGATGCCGGCCACAGAGACTGGTGAAACGTCAGGAAGAACAACCTTCAGAACACGGCCAAAGAGCCCGAAAAACCCAGAACAACCATTTCTAGGATTCTTTAATATTTTCAGGCCATAGATAAGTGAATCAGTGGACACTGATCCAGCAGATTCTGGGGTCTTATTGTCCATAGTTTGTACATATACCACAAACATACATATATGCTGAAAAGGGCCACCCTAAGTCAGAATTGAGAGCACATCATTAACCTAGCTGGAAAGCTCAGTGAGTTAGGTCTCTGGCTGCAAAGTCAGAGGTTGCGGGTTTGATTCCCCCACTGTGCCTCCTATAAGTAGAGACCACCTGGGTGGCCTTGGGCAATCTGTGCAGGAGTCCCAGGCCACCCCCAGAAGAAGGGGAGGGGAAAAATCACTTCTCAGTGTTTCTTTTCGTGGAAAACCCTGATAGGGGTTGCTACGAGTCAGAACTGACTTGATGGGAGACGATGATGATGATGATGATATATGCACATTTCTCCTGTCCTGTCTATCACACACCACATTGTCTCTCTCTTTCTCTCTCTCTGTGCTGTCAGGTGGGATTCATTGACTACATCGCCCATCCCTTGTGGGAAACCTGGGCCGATCTGGTTCATCCCGATGCTCAAGAAATCCTGGACACGCTGGAAGACAACCGGGAATGGTACCAGAGCATGATGCCACGCAGCCCCTCGCCACCCCCGGACGAGCCGGGATCCGAGAAGGGTGGAGGCGGCAGCTCGGACAAGTTCAGCTTTGAGCTCACCCTGCAGGAAGAAGACGGAGAGGCGTCGGACCTGGATCAGGGGGAGACGGAGAGCCCCCTGGAAGAAGAAGAAGAAGAAGAAGGCAGCGACTCCAGAGCCCTGGGTGCCACAGAGGACTCTGAATCCACCAACGAAAGCTGGCCGTCCCCCACGGACCAAGCGGGCAGCCCCCACCGGCACGCCCTGGTCAAGCAGAAGGAGGCCTTGGGCAGCTTTGAGAGCCGGCAGACCCTCTTGGGAAGCGGCAGCTGGTCCACAGGGGACCCCAGCACCCAACTGGGTCTCGACCAAGAAGGAAACGTCACATTTTTGACCCTGGGGACATAAAGGTGGCGGTGGCCGTGGTGGTGGTGGTGGCAGCAGCAAAGTCCCCTGTGGTGGCTGCGTTCTGTGGGGGCTGGAGGGAAGGAGAGGCCTATGAGGCCACCCCAGACATCTTAGGGGGCAGCTCCCCATTGCAAGGGGGAGTCGTTGCTTTCTCTCAAAGACCTCTGTGTCGGAACACCAGACGCTGCCTCCCCCCGCCTCGCCTCTTCCTTGCTGACTTCCAGCGTCTCTCCTCATGAGATCTGGGCTGTATCCAGACCTGGCCCCACCTGCGTCCTCCCCCTCTGAGCACTGGGTCTTGGGCTGGGACCGAGCCCGGCCCATCCATTCAGGCTTCCCTACGGTCTCCAGGCTTCTATTCATTCCTAGGTGGTTGTGCTGTGCCATCAGGCCACCTCCGACTTAGGGCGACCCTGTGAATGGAGTGGTCTCCAAAATGCCCCGCTCGCTCTTGCAAACTCAAAGGTCGTGGTTTCCTTGAGGGAATCTTTCCTTCTCCTATTGGGTCATTCTCTTTCCCTGCTGCATTCCTCCTTTCCCAGCAGGAGGGTCTTTTCCAGAGAATCCTGTCTTTCCACGATGCGCCCAAAATAGAACTGCCTCGGCTTCAACACTTTTCACCTCCGGAGCGGATAGTTGGGGTGGGGTTTGAGCCAGGGCCGATGGCTTGTAAAGGTGGAGGTTCAGTTTGGAGGAGAGGTGAGGGAGACCACGGAGGTACTCGATGCTGCTGGTGGGCGAGAAGAGAAAAGACTGGGTGAGATGGACCAGCTGTCCAGAAATATGGAATGTAAGCGTTGGAAACTCAGAATGTGTTCCGAGGTTTCAGGCACCTGAAGAGAAGAGAAGACTGGCCGTCCTCACTCCTTGGGAGGCCTCGGGGGGGGGGGCGGAAAAGGTCTACATGTCCCGTGTTTGTATTGGCCAAGTTGCTGCCTTTAACTTATTGGGGCGGGAGGGATTATCCTTGTAAAATGTAGCACAATGTGTTTAATAATATAATTACAACAGTAAGCATTTAGAGACTGGTATAACTGAACAGCACTAGAAGTGCTGTATTATGTAAATACAGTACTGTATACGTATGTATTTCCTTTCCTACCACATTGCACTTGGGGGTTTCATACGAACTGCTGTTTTTATTTTGGAGTTGCCACTTTTTGTGGAAGGAGCCACTGTCGTCTTTGAATCAGGGTTGTTTCTTCCCTGGTATCCGAATTTTCCTGGCACCTTTATGCACTTCCCATCAGCACTTTCTCTGTTCTTTATTATAATATAATGTAATGCCACTCGATGTTACAATTCTGTTTTGTTTGTTTTTCAAAGTACGGTATAAAGCGTGACTCCTTGAGTCTGAAACCTGGTCCCAGGGTGTTTGCAGTAGAAGGAAAACTGAGAGCAGGGAGGGAGAGCATCGGGCAGGGATTTTAAGGTATAGGACTGGAAAAATAAGTCTGGAGGGTACATTTGAAAGAGGAATGATGATACAGTTCCCTCCTTATCTCTGTGGGATCAGTATGTACTGATTAACTTATCCATGTTCTGGAAATATTTAAAAAATCCCCAGAACCAACCACTAGAGAGCCAGAGAACATACCATGTACAGTACAGTGTATTTGTACAGTATGCATTGCATTTGCTATTAAAATAGTGTTTGCTATCATCCACATTTTCCAGCATCCGCGGAGGGGTGGCAGCTTGGAACTGATCATCTCCCATAGATACGGGGATGGTGGTGGTTTCCTATTGCATTAGATAAGCATGTTTGGAAAGACCTGCATAAGGTGAAACGATGGAGCTGGTTGAGAGGGTCTTGGGCCCACCATTAGCGAGGAGAAGGGTGGAAAGAGCAGGGCAGGTTCTGCGCTTCACATCTACAACTCCCAGAATCCCCAGCCTCATCGGTCACTGGAAGTCCTTGGGAAGTCGGACTTTGGAGGGGGTCAGACTAGAGGACCCGGCGGGGCCCCTTCCCCTCGGCTCCTTTCTCTGACTGCTGGTGGGGAGGAGGCCATCCTATGCCGCCTCCACTTCCTGCTTTGGCTCACGTTCTGTTCCCAGGAGGGATCCAGGATCACACACCCCCAACCAAACCTTCCCATCTCCTGCCATATGGACGCCTCGCCGCAGAAACTCGTTCGGTGGGTCAGGTTCTTCCTGTGGGCTCAGGAGGACACCGGCGAGAAAGCTCCTTTGCCAGCAGCGGCTCCGGCCTTTCCTCCCAACAGATCCGTCCCTGACGGGGCCACAATCCCCAGTAACCTTTCCCTTTAACTAATCCCAAAGGGACAAGAGCCTCCTCGCCTCCGTCGGCCGGCTGCTGCCTCCAGCTTGTCTCTCAGCCTTCTAGATCCATACGCGCACACACACCCCAGGGCAGGATCACAGCCTCTCCACTGAAGTGTCCAGCCGTCTCGTAACGGCACAGGTAAAACGGGGCACGAGCGTGGGGCTGAACCGCCGGCCTGCAACAAAGAGACGAGAAAGAAGGTTTTGCAACACCGTGCGCGGTCAACGCTCACCCAGTCTGGTGGGTTTGGGTGAGGCTCACGGCTACCTTCGTTTCCTCCTCACGGTGTGGCCGGTTTGACACAGAACTGGAAAGAGAGCCCGTCTTCACCTCTTCCCCATGGTTCTCAAGGGCCGTCTTGACTTTCAGCAACCATAGGAAGGAGCAGTCCACAAGATGTGCCTAGCCTGGGAGTCTCCTCTTCTGGCACTATCCCTTGCTTCATCTGGCCACCTCCGACTATATAAATTCTCCCCCCCCCTCCGTGTCAGGCGACAGATTCGTCTAGAAGGGGGGGGAAGGGGTGCTGAGGTTTATTTATCTCAATTGTTGTTATTTACAACTATCATTGCATATTGTTTACATCTATAATTTATATAATATAATATAATGGCAGGGAGAAAAGAAGTCGCCATAAACAAAATAAGCCCTTTGGAAAAAAAATAGACATGCGTGTCCTATGGGGTCTACTCAGAAGTAAGCCTCGCGTTCAGCGGGAATTACTCTTAGGTAAAGGACCGTAAGGATTGGGAGGGCCTAGTCAATCATCGGGCGCCCTGGCCAATCAGGCGGCGAGACGGCCCGCCCTTCGGGGAGGAAAGAAAAGGGGGAGGCGGTCCTTCGCCGAGCGGCGTCACCGCCTCATTTGCATGCTCCCCGCCCCCGCTGGTGACGTCGGTTCGGGTTTCTGCAGGCAGGTGCTCTGGTTGCCTCGCGCTGCCGCTGCTGCATTAGCCGCCAGCCTCGAAGCGCGTTCTCGAGGTGAGTGCGCGCCCGGTGCAGTGCCCCCCCCACCTTTGCACCCTCTTTTTGCCCCCCAGGCCCCTCTTTTTCTGCAGTGCATCTTATGCATGGGCTTAGCCGCGTGCTTCGGGCGAGGAGATAACCTTCATTTGACACGTACCGAGCGGCGCGGGCGGGGGAGAGGAAAAACCGGGGCGGCGGTGGGGGGAGGAGGAGGAGAGGGTTTGCAAATCCTCGAAGCCAGAGATGCGGAGACTGGGGGGTGGGGGGAGAGGAGATGATTAAATCGGAAGCGTGACTGCACACGCCAGCGGTGTTTCGAAACGAAGGTGCTTCTTTTAAAAAATGCGGTTTTTAAAAAAAGATGTATGTGTGTCTCGATCGAGGTTGCAGAAGGCAAGGGATGAGCCTTCTTCCAGGGCGGGCGGGCGAGCGAGCGGGCCTCCGCGGCAGAGGCGCCTGCGATGCAGCTGGTAAACAGGCGGCCGCCTCCTTCTTTGCCAGCCGGAGCGGATGGGCGGCGGGAGGGGGGGAAAGGAGGAGGAAGAGGAGGAGGAGGAAGCAGCGGCAGCCGCCTCCCCCACCCCACCCCGAGCCGCGCAGGTTGCAGAAGGCAATGCCGCTCCGGCAAAGCATCGCGGGGTGCGGTGGGGTGGCGTGAGAAGAAAGGGGACGCCTACTTTCCTTCCCCCCCCCCGAAGGGTCTGCTTCCCGATCCTTTCCGAGCAGCCCCTGGTTTGGTGGGGGGTGTCGCCTCTCGAAAATGCCGGCCCGTTTGAACTGAGCCGGCTGGTCTCTTCCCCCCCCCTTTTTTTTGGCCTTTTCTGGTCCAGCACATCTGAGCCTCTCTCTCCCTCCCCTTTTTTTAAATTACAGTGTATTTGTTTAGCAAAGGTCTCTAAGCCCCCTCCCCCCCCCGCTTTCTCGAAATGTGAATTTATTTGGGTCTTGATTGTATTTGTTTGCCTTTTGCAGGCTCAGGGAGGCGAGCGCGCAAGGTGGCCCTTCTCTGCGGCCGGCCTCCCCTCTCCTCTCCGGGAGGGAGGGAGGAAAAAAAGCGGGTTCGGGGACGAATCCTGGAGGCGGCTGTGCAGGAGGCAGGCAGAGCTTGGCTTGCAGGCCCCGGCCAGATGGCTTGGACCTTGACATGAGCAGGGCTTTGCCGCCTTGACCGACCCCGGCCGGTGGCCTTGACCCCCCCACCCCCCAAAAAAGGGAGGAGGAAAGGCCGGTTTGGGTCTTATTTTTCTACAGCTCTTGCTGGTTATCAATGGGGGTTGGTAGAGGGTTGTAACCCGATCTGCGCCTGTGCCTGTGCTTTGCGTTGACGGGCGAGATCTGTCAGATGGAGGACAGAGGGTGGGGGGCCCTGGCCTGGCGTACGAATGATTCCTCCCCAGCGGAGTGCCAAGCCTCCCTTCGGTCTCCCCTGGCCCGTCCAGCCGATTTGAGGGGCGGCTTTCAAAAGCACGGGGCCAGATCCTGTAAGGTTTGGAGGAGAAGAGTGGGCTGTCGCAGAGGGCAGGAAGAGAGCCTCCATGCTTAGGAGCAGTCTTGCTGGAACGTGTAGACCTGAGTGGCTAGCTCTCTTTCTCAAAGCTTTCAGCCCAGCCCCGCCGGCTGTCATCAGAGACGGGGTCTCTGAGGCTGGATTGGGCACGGCCTCAGAACAAGGTGGAACTACAACGTCCATCAGCCTTAGTTGGCATGGCTCTTCTCCAGGACCGCTGGGTGTTGTAGTCTGAGACCTTCTGGAGGAGGGCTGGAAATCTTGTCTTGTTGTCTTGTTTTACAGCTGAGGATAAAAAAAGGAGGAAGACTTTTCTTCCCAAGGGGTGAGATGATGAAGAGCGGTTGTAAGCTTTTGGTGCAATTTAGCACTTTGTCTGTACAAAATGGGCAGGAAAGGGTTTTTGGTGGAGAAGACCTCACGAAATATGCACAACGTGCGTGTTTGTTTTTTTGCAAAAAGCTTCACCCCTCTGCAAATTCTGCTGTTGACGGGGGGGGGGAGAGAAAATCACCCTGCTCTTTCTAGCTCTGAGGCAGGCGTGAAAAACAAAATCTCGCTGTGCTTGACAGGATTCCAACCCCCCCCCCCCAGACATGATGTTCTGATGGGTTGAGACACCATTTGTTGTCAAGTGCTAGAAAATTGCCAGGCTTTTAACATTTTTAATTTAATTTTTTATTTTTTAAAAGCATTTTTAAACTGGACGGCCGCACGCTCTCAGCATCCCTGCACCAGGTGGATCTCCATCCACCTGGCTGAGAGAACCCAGCTCTCGATCTGCTTTGGTTTTCAAACCTGGTCAAAACGAATATTTTTTGTTACCTTTAATTTTACGACTGCGGGTTTTTTTTTACTTGGCTTCTGGAGATCCGTTCCTCCCCTTAGCTTGTTTCAAACTCCTGCTGAAGGAAGCAGATACAACCTTATGTAAGCCTCTTTGTTTTCTGCTGATAAAGCTAGCGTTTATTTATTTAAAATAAATAAAGTATTTTTCTCCTGCCTTTCTCCTCAAGAGGGACACAAGGCGGCTTACATAATTAGAATACATTGTTTAATGCTAACAATGGTAAGTACCCAAATGCTAAAAAGGGTCAAACAAATGGCAAATGTAAGCAACACCAAAACACCGTCAAAGCGTTGAGGCGCAAGAATTCATTTAGAACCCCACTCAGGCTGCTAGTTACACAGGGAAAGCTTGCCTGAAGAGGAAGGTCTTTTCCTGAACGAGGAGGGAGAGCAAAGAGGGGGCTCAGCCCGGTTTCCAGTAGCAGGGAGTTCCTCCATCTGGGAGCCCCAGATCTGACTCCTTTCAATAAGAATTGCAAAGACAGGGCCAGCTTGGCCTCCCCCAGTGGCAGGGAGTTCCAGAGTCTGGGAGCCGCCACCGAGAAAAGGCCCTCCTGTGTCCCCACCAAAGGCACCTGCGAGGATGATGGGACTGAGACGAAGCCCTTAACCCCCGGGAAGGCTCATAAAGGGGGACCCGGTCCTTGAGATGCCTTCGAGCTACGCCATTCAGGGCTTTATAGGTTAAAACCATCACTTTGAAATGTGCCTGGAAATGGATCGGCAGCCAGTGGAGCTGCTGTCATGGGGGGGGTGTCACATGACCCCCGTGGCCAGCACCACTGAGCCATCCAGCTGCAGCGCTTTGGACCTGGTAGAGTTTCCGGACAATTTCCAAAGGCCGCCTCACGAAAGCCCGCCTCACGTAGAGCGCATTACAGCAATCCTGCCCAGACGGACCCGAGGACTTGGAAGATTCTGTATGCGGGCACCATTTTGGAGTGTGTGCTCCCATCCTGGCAGTGAGCACAAGTAGGTTCTCCCGGAGAGTCGAGAAAACTGCGGCGTCCAAAAACCTGTTTCATTTGGTTTTGACCAGGGTTTGGTCAAGCAAATGGCTCTGAATCGCCCTTTCCAGAATACCTTACATTTTAAGAAGGCCTAGTCTCACCATCTGTTTTTCTCTTAGTTGCATTTAAAAAATAATTGCATCATGTGTTCCACTGCGATTCTGTGGCTGAAATCTTGGGGTGGGGGGGCTGAGAGTTTGTCGACGGTTGTCAACTGTTTTCTGGAGCACCGGTGACCCATTACCTGGTAAGCAAGGGCCGATGGCGTTGGAAGAAGTGCAAATTCTGTTTAAAAGGACCATACGCCTTGAGGGTGACGGCCATTGGACCGCCAGGTGACCTGCCTTTAGGAGGGAGTGGAGTCTCTTCTGTGGGAGGTTTTCCTGGACACTCACCTGTCAAACCCTAGGTGTCCTGTTGCAGCTCTGCCACTTTCACAGCCATGAGATGTCGGTGGAACCTCCAGCATGGGGAGGTGTTTATCTGTGATGTGCCACAGGGGCTTTCCAACCGTTGGACCCGTTTCCAAGCCCATCTGGCTTAGATATGGGCCACTCAGCTCCTACCACCAAGACTATCCACCCTCTGGTTGTGGCCTTTTAGCTAATTAACCCCCCCCCCCGCTGCTTAGTTATGCCAAAGCAAATCCTGGGATTGAAAGTCCCTTACTATAGGAGCAATTAAAGGACCCAGCCGGGCTGAGGCTGGGTGGATCGGCACTCTGTGCACCTATCCCCATTATTCCTGGGTGTGAAGTCCTTGGCGGCCCCCTTCCGGGGCACCGGCTGCTGGCCCAGCTGAACCGTGCCCAGGGACAGCGTTCGGAAAGCGGCGGTAGGTGGTGCAGAATCCGCTTGGCCCCTTCGGGTGTTTAACGATAACAGCAGAGGCTAAACCCCTGAAGGATAACGAGGAAATGGGATTAGGGAGAGGAGAGCGCGAGGCCGCCTTTCGGCCAAGGAAGAAGGGGAGGACTTGAAGGGCCGTTGGGATTGCCAACCGCCGGACCGGCTCCTGAACCTCCCTCGAACTGGGGCCCTCTGGATGGGCTGTGCAGGCTGTGGATGAGGGGTAGTGTAGTCCCAACATGTCTGGATGGCAATGAACCGGAGAAAGCTGGTCTACCTTTGAGTAACTCCCAAGAATATTTATTTATTGGTGTCTTTTGTTTATTTAACTTTTAAACCCAATTTATGCAAGGCGTTCTTCTGGGCGGTTAAACAGTCAAAGTAAAGGCTTATCCCATGACAATAACAAAAGACAGGCTGTGGTCAAATCAAGTAAATTGGTAAAGCAAATTATAAAATGGGAAAACAGACCAAGCATGTTGTGTGCTGCTTATTCTCCTCTTGTGCGCACCCTGCCTGAAGGATCGTATTCATTCATTCATTTGATTTATGTTCTGCCCATCTGGCCAAAGGCCACTCTGGATGGGTTTACAACATAAAGTGAAAATAGACAATCAAAATCATTAAAACTATGTACCGTATTTTTCGCTCCATAAGACGCACCTTTCCATAAGACGCACCAATTTTTTAGAAGAAAACAGGAAAGTATAATCTGTTTTCTTCGCTCCATAAGACGCACAGACTTTTCACCCCCCGGTTTTGTGGGAAAAAAGTCTGTCTTATGGTGCGAAAAATACGGTAACTATTTTTTTCTTATGGTGCGAAAAATACGGTAACTATTTAAAAAAAAATACACAATAGAAATAACAAAACAAATAAAATACATTTGGTCTCGCCTTACAAACCTTCCTGGTGATCTTGAACACCTTCTCAGGGTCCCCTTGCCTGTGCAGCCACGGCAGCCGGGGACACGGGACAAGGGCATTCTTGGTGGTGGCTCCCAGGTTGCGAGATCCTCTCCCACAGAAGGTCCGGCTGGCCCTCTTCCTTTTTGTCCTTCGGCCACGAGCGGAGGAGCCACCGTTTTCAGCCAGGCTTTGAGCCCATCGGGTAACCCCTTGGAAACAATTGTCTGTGGAGTCGGGGGTCATGGTCTGACCCGTGGGTGGGCCGCTGCCCAATCGGGTCTCCTGCTTTTTTTCCCTCCCCAGATGGCCTCCGCCACTGATGCCCGCTATGGCCAGAAGGAGTCCTCCGATCAGAACTTCGACTACATGTTCAAGATCCTGATCATCGGCAACAGCAGCGTGGGGAAGACCTCCTTCCTCTTCCGGTACGCGGACGACTCTTTCACCCCGGCATTTGTGAGCACCGTCGGCATCGACTTCAAAGTGAAGACCATCTACCGCAACGACAAGCGGATTAAGCTGCAGATCTGGGTGAGGAGCCAGGCAGGGGCTGGTCCTACCCTGCAGGGGTGTCGGGAGGGATCATGGGAAGGACCTCCCCTCCCTTTGCTTAAAAAGATGCACATCTCTGAGTGGCTAGGCTGGCATGGGTGATATTTGGGAGTTGTAGTACAGAAACTGCAGGAGGCCTGGGTTTGAATCCCTGCTCAGCCATGGAGGATCTCCCTTTCTTTAGGGTCGGACCCCACTTGAGCCCATCTTCAGATTCTTTCCCCTCTCTCCCCATAGGACACGGCGGGGCAGGAGCGATACCGAACCATCACCACCGCCTACTACCGGGGGGCCATGGGTTTCATCCTGATGTATGACATCACGAATGAGGAGTCCTTCAACGCCGTCCAGGACTGGTGAGTCCCGTCGGTGTCATGTTTGAACAAACCTCGCTTCTGGGCAGGCAGAACAAGAGAAACACGGACAACTTTGCAAACAAACAAACAAACCCACCCCTAATGCTCCAGCATCCTGTTTAAAGTTCTCTTGCTTTTGGTCCAGTTGCTACTCCCGACTCCATCCGTGTGAGAAAGGGTTTCACTTACCCACGAAGGGTGGACTCGGGACTCTTTTCTGGATTCGCAGATGGACTGAGATCCCCACGCCCTTCCCACAGAAAAAGTTCCCTTGGTCTAGGACCCGAGAGGGTCTCTGCTCAGTGCGGTTGGGTTTTCTCTTTCTTCCACCTCCTGGATCAATCTGTCATCCTTCCTCTCACAACGGGTGGTGTTTTTTTTTTCTCCTTCTAGGTCCACCCAAATCAAGACCTACTCATGGGACAACGCCCAGGTCCTGCTGGTAGGGAACAAGTGTGACATGGAAGATGAGAGGGTTGTGTCGTCGGAGCGGGGCCGTCAGCTGGCGGAACATCTGGGTGAGTCCGGGACAGGTATGGCTGGGGGGGGGGCCTAGGCAGGCGATACGGGGAGTACTCTGGGAGAGGGGTAAACAGTGCTTGTGAACGTTTGGAACCTGTGTCTCTCAAAACACCAAGGTAGATGGAAAATGTAACTTCTTCAAGCACCTGGGAAGGGATGGTGTAAAACTGGGTGCAGAGCTTTGCGTTCAATTCCTCCAGACGTGGCGCAGAACTGCAAGGATTCACGGAGCAGAGTTGCTTCAAGTTCTGCGGAGTAGACCACCCCCTTTTTCTCAGTAACCATCACCCGGAGACTTCAGTAGCTGAAAGAATTAACAGAAAAGGTTTCATGACTTGAGCAGATCGAACAGGCAAACGCATGACTGCTTTCAAAAACACCTCAACAGTCGAGGGCTTTCAACAGACTGAAGAGAGGGAAAGAGACACCGAGCAGAGAGGCGGGCCCCTCTTTGAACTCGGAGGAAGGGGGGAACAAGAGGGCAGCCCTGGAAAGATTGACGGTCACCCCAGCCAAAAATGTCCGTCCCGGCCACAGCTCCTAGAGACAGCTTACAGAGCTGTGAAAGCTCTTGAAAATCACAAACTAAATTCAGCCTGTAGGCCAGGAGGGGCTCCCGGGTCTTCCTTCAGAAATAAATTAGAGAAAGAGTTTGAAAAGTAAAAGATATTTATTGAGATGAACAAAACGGTGCCCCCATGGAGAGGAGCAGTCTACCTTGGGCTCCCCATTGCGGCTGTTTTCTGCCTGCTTTGGCCGCTGCTTGCCAAACTTAACTGGTCATGGTTTCTGTCTCTTTTTTTTTTATTTATATTTTGTTCCGCCTTTCTTTTCCCCCCCCCCCCCCCCCCGGGGTTCAAATTGTCCAGGGTTCGAATTCTTTGAGGCGAGCGCCAAGGACAACATCAATGTGAAGCAGACCTTCGAGCGCTTGGTGGACATCATCTGCGAGAAGATGTCGGAGTCGCTGGATGCGGCCGATCCGGCCGTGACGGGCACCAAGCAGGGGCCACAGCTGACCGACCAACAAGCCCCCCCTCACCAGGACTGTGCCTGTTAGAGAGACTTCCGCCCCACCCCTGGCCCCCCGTGTAGTCTATCGTTTGTTAGCAGTTGTCGGAGATTGTGGAGCTGTCTGCAAGCAATTACCGTATTGGCCTGCCACCAAGGGCTTAGAAGAGTAATACGGTCACCTTCTTTGGAAACTATGGACAGTGAAATGCCTGTGTTAATTAGTTCACACAAAAGAGAAAATGTGTGTGCGATGGTTTCATTGGTTACAGCTACTTTACAGCTACAAGGAAAGGTAGGCAGGGGGTTATTCTATCTCTGCTTGTATCTTGGATCACCAGAGATCTCGGCGGGGGTGGTGGTTGGGTACAAATCAGGATCTTTTAACTGTTGTAGTGGATTTTATTTATTTATATATATATATATACAGTATATTTATTTATTTATATATTTATACCTCCCTCTGTTGATGTATCCAGGTGTCCTTTTCTCTCCCTTTCTTCTTCCCCTTTTTGCCTCTTTGCTTTCTTAAGGGACATTGCGTGCCTCCCTCCCATACCTCCCCACCCCCCCCGTCAGTCAGTCTCCTGAAAAAGAGGCCATATCCGGAGCGTAACTCGGCCGAGACAGGCGGGGGGCCCTCTCCCACAGGAAATGGCCTGTCCAGCACCGGGGGGGGGCGCGTTAAATGATGGTGAGGGACGTTTTTCACTTTTCACTGCTGAGGCTGAGCTCCAGCTTTGGGCATGGGGGGGGCGTATGTGCTGAGGCCCCCCACTTTTCCTCCCAGGGATTCGGTGTGGCAGATGGAGGTTGTCGGGGCTTCACTTGGGCCAAGGGAGACCTGATCCCTGGTCCACAGGGTTTCCGCAGCGGACGATGCTTTTCCAGCCTGACTTGTCCCCTCCTTTTGGGAGACCAGCGAATTGGGGGAGAAGGATGGCCATTGGATCCTTTGGGTGCCCAGGGCGTGGATTTCTGTCCTCTCCTTCTGGCACCCGTTGAGGGTCTCCCCAAGGGGGTTTTAGTGCCTCCGGTCATCCCCTTCTGGAGTCGCGGGTCAAAATCGAGCCTTGTCCGGTTTGGGGCTCTGGGCTCCTCACCTGCCTGCCGACCCCAAAATGGCCACCCAACGGAGGAGGCTCCTTCGGCTTCTTCTCTTTCCATCCCTCCCAAGAACTTTCCCTGGCGGAGGAGGAGGAGGAGGAGGAGGACGGTTCTCCCACTTTGCTTTCCCCCACCCCCTTTGCTGATTGTATAAAAAACTTCCCGCATTGGTTTTCCTTCCCGTCTTCTTCCGTGTACAGAAAAGGGAAAATAAGTCGACCCACCAAATCCTCTCTGGGCTGGCAGGGCGTGTGGCCCGATAGGATTTTGGAGGTTTTCTCCAGCTCTTTGTAAATAGAGGCAGACGGTGTTGTCGAGGTGTGTGTGTGTGGACTCCTTGCCGTGCTGTGGCTTGTGCTGGTGTTTTTCCCGTCACTTTTTTCTTTGTCCTAAGAAGGTTTGTGACGGTTTTTCATTTGCTTGTGAGCCATTATTGAAATATATATGTATATTCTGTAGGACCCCTGTATCCCTGGGAACAGTATTTGTGGTTTCACTCATCTGTGATCTGAAAATATTAAAAAGAAAAAAACCCTAGAAATATATAGTTTTCACAATGTATTTACCAGAGCTGGCCATAAGAGGGAGCCAGAGGCCATGCTGGGTGTCCTGGTTATTAAAGAACACATGATCTCTGGCTCCCTCTAGTGGCCAGTTCTGGCAACACATGACAAAAACCCTCCCCTCCCCCGATTTATTTTCTCTTTTACCATGCTATGTATGGTGTTCTCTATTATCCAAGGTTTTCAGCATCCACAGGGGCTCAAAACCAATCCCTTTATGGATACAGGTGGCCTACTGTATATATACTATATGCAGATATACATATATACATGTGTACACAGTCACATACTTATATATACATACAGTACTTAAAAAGAGAAAGGAAGAAACAGGGCGAAGGAGGTGGGAGTGCCAACCACCATCGCACCCTACTTGCTGCTGAAAAACCCTCCAGGGTTCTCTCTGGGAAGCAGCTGAGAAAATTAAGGATTTCTTCCTTTTTAAATGCATCCTCCCACCTCTGAATATTCTCGTTTGCTCTTGGAGTTGGAAGAAGCCGAGCTGACCCCTGGTGCCGTTCCTGCGCCGTCCCTTTTTGCCTCCCGCCTTGTTCGGATTCTTTCTATCCCAGTGTAGATGTATTAATAAACTTTTTCTGTTGAGGTCTTCTCTCCCCCCCCTCCCCGGCCTCCCCTTTGGTTTTTAACAAAAACCCTGGAAGTTTTGTTTTACAGATAACTTTTAACACACACACACAATGTCCTTTCTCTTTCGCTCTCTTTTGTGACGTTTACTTCTATTGGGGGGGGGAATATGCTGTACTGTATTTAAAACAAAACCTGTCGGAAGTGTCAAAATTAAACTCAAGTTTCCTAAAAAAAATATTACAAAAAATAATCACTGTACTAAGGAGATATGTGAGGAAATAAAATTGCTGATCACACAAAGCATTTCATGTCGGAGTCGGTGTGAAGGGAGTAATAATTTTATTTTAGGACTGCAGAACGGGAAAGGACCCTCAAGATCATCCAGTTTAGCCCCTGCCAAGGAGGCCCCGTCGGGGGGGGGGGAATTGCAGCTGTTCCCTTCTCCTGCGTCCACCTAAATCTGTTTGGGCCCCTCCAGCCGTCTCGTCCTGTCCCAGCAAACGCCTTTAAGGCTGGCACTGATCAAACTAGCCCCTGTCGCTTGGAGTTGACAAGCATCTCAGCAGCAGGAAAGAGGCAATCAAGACGTTTCTTTAATTAGGAAAATCGGTGATTTGGCACAGCTTTGGAAGAGGCACATCGATCAAGAGGGATCCGGTCTCCGTTGGGAGGCCAACCCGATTCGGCCACCACAAATTCTCATTTGTTCTGAGTCCTCCGCCTTGCTCCCGCCACGGACCCTCTTGGAGACAGGGAAATCGAGGACCGTCAGACGCGCGTCGCTCCGTCTTGCTTGGCGTGAAAGTTTCAGTTGGGAACGGCTTCCTCCCCACCTCGGCGGTGGTCCCGCCTGGCCGTGCCCAAACATCCCTTTCTCAGAAATGACCCAAAACACTATCGGGAGACGGAGCGAAGCTGAGGAGGCCTGCTCCGGCTCACAAATGAAGCAGGTCGTTCCACGGTGGTTGGGGGTCCGGAGACGCCGCTTAGCCCGCTGTTTGGATTTCGAGCGTTTGGGGCTCGGGGTCATCCTCCTCTCCGGGGCCTTGAGACGGGTGCCTGGGCTGAAGGAAAAGGGAGGAAAACCCCTCAAAAATCAGCCGATCTTGGGAGTTGCTGTGCTTTGTGGCCCCAGGCCCTCCGAGGCATGCTCAGTCGAGCAGCCCCGCAGCCGCCAGCCCCCCAAAACAACCTCCATCCCTTTTTTGATTCCTGGAAGCAGGTTTTGGGGAATGTTGGGCTCCCGGCCTGCTCTGCATTTTTCCCAGGGGGTTCTCCTTGTCTCCAAAGGATGCGGGGGAGAGTAAGGAGCGGACAGGAAAAGGGGGTCCCAAGTGAGTGACCTCAGCCCTGGACCCTTTTTCCCCTTCCTGGCAAGGGGTGGCACTTACGCGATGCTTCAGGTAAGACAGGTAGGTGTCCCATCCTAGAGTGATGACGTTCATGTAGAGGACGCGGTACTTGGGGGACAGGAAGAGGAAGTTGACTAACTGTGCGGGTGGCCAGACGCACCAGTCCATCTGCGGATGGGAGGAGGAGGAGGAGGAAGGAAGGATCAGCCATGTCGTCCATGGAAGATAAAGTGTGTATATGTATGTGTGTGTGTGTGTGTGTGGAGGGACATGCCAGGAGGGGAAGGGGGGAGGAGGAGGGACTCACCTTGTAAAACTCCCAAAAGTTGTCCTCCAGCTCACGCCAACTCTGCTCCAGAGACTGACCTTCCAGGGACCCCATTCCTGCAGGAAGAGGCAAGAGGGAGAAGGTCCAGAAGAGGAGGGACCCGGAACCCCGACACCCTCTCCCTGGAGAGGCCGAAGACGGCTCTCCGCCAGTGGTTCCCAACCTGGGCTGCCCGGGGGTTCTTGAATGACCGCCCCCAGGAGCCTTCTGGGAGTTGGAGTAGCCAAGCGCCCTCGGATGGGGCCCAAGGTTGGGGGCCACCAGCCGGGAGCAGCCATCCTTACCCAGGAAGTACCACGCTCCCAGGGCCGGGGAGGCCACGATCTGGTCGATGAAGACCTTTTTCAGGACGGTGCGGATGCCGCCGAAGCCGGCGGCGGGGAAGGTGCGATCCAGCCACAGGTACCAGTAGTGCATCAGGGGGCCCATGCTGCAGCCGACCGCGAACATCCGGGCTGGAGGAGGGAGGGAGGAGGAGAAAAGGCACCCTGTGAGTGGGACAGAAACCGCTTTGCAGGTTGGGATGGGGGTCGGCTGGGGCTGCTCCTAAGACGGTGGAACTCCCCACCACAGGAAGCTGGGTCGGCTCTTTCTCTGTAGCCCTACCGTCCGCAGGCAAAGCACTTTTGATTCAGGGACCAGGAAGGGGGGGCTTTATGGCCACTGAGGAAGGGGGTTTTAATAAGGAGAGAGAGGGGGTCCTTTGATTTATTTATTTTCTCTTTTTAACAGGCTTTCACATTCATTTTCATTCCCTTCTCTTAAGGCAGCGAGGTGGGCTTTTAAAGTTGCGCTTTTAGCTGCCCTGGTTAGTTTTCCCCATGCTGGGAAGGCAGACGTGTCAGAAAGGAGTGGGTGATTTTTTTTATCTCCCGTTTTCACCGTTTCTGCCGATTCCTGATACTTCTGTGGGACAAATGGCTAAGTTTCCCCCAGGGCAGCGGCTCTGCAAACAGGTCCCGAAAGGGGCCGTGATAAAAGCACCCTCAGATGGGGGAGGCTTGGGATCAGAGAGCAGGCAGGAGGACTTCTGATGTCTTGGAAGAGGTTGCAGGGAAGATTTGACCCCGGGCCAAGGAGGAAAACTTCCTGTGGAGGAGAGAGCTGGGCAAAGGCCGGGCCAGCCTTCCCGAGGAGGTCTGCGGACTTTAGTCTTTTCGTGAGGCTCCTCGAGAGAGGGAGAGGGAGAGAAGCAGATGAAGCCCCTCCTTTTCCAGGGCAAAGTTTCCAAACCGGGTCCTCAGCCTCCCTCTGGATCAGGAGAGGATTGGAAGGGCTCTCCCCGCCAGCAAGCTGCCAGAATGGGTGCAATTCAGATTTTTCAGGGTTTCCCACCGTTGGATGAGACAGGCACACGATCCCGTAAAGGTGGCCCCGTTTACTTATTTAAAATATTATTACCCTGCTTTTCTCCTTCAAGAGAACCCCAGGTGGCTTACATCAATTAAAAGCCCGTGTTTGAAGCTCAAAACAGTAAGTAAAAAAAAAAATGAAAAAAAACCAAACAAATAACATAAGAAAACAAAAGCCATACATAAAGCACATTTAAAGCCACCATCCATTAAAAAAAACCCACTCAGCTGCCGGTCACACAGGGAAAGCCTGCCTGAAGAAGAAGGTCTTGGCCTGTTTATGGAAGGAGAGCAAAGATGGGGCCAGTCGGGTCTCCAGTGGCAGGGAGTTCCAGAGTCTGAGAGGACCCATTTTTACTCCTTGAAATACAAATTGCAAAGAGGGGACACAGCTTAGCCTTCAGTGCCAGGGAGTTCCAGAGTCTGTGAGCAGCCAGAGAGAAGGCCCCACTCCTGTGTCTCCTCACCAAGCGCACCTGGATGATAGGACCGAGATCTTAACATCTGGACCTAAAGGGAGATACAGTATCATCCTCAGTGGTCAAGTCCCGCATCTGAGCCTTTGGTACCACATCCTAAACGGAGACTTAGGGTTTGGCACCAAAGACTCACACTCGGGATTTGGACCCAAAGGCTCGCCAACCCCCTGGCCAACCCCACAACACGGAGGCAGGAGGTCAGGACATTGTTCACACCCCACGGCTGCATTTCCCCCCCCATGCCCTCTCAACCTGTGCGGGCCAAATCGCGCTGGCGTTGCGGGTCCTTCCGGATCTCCCAGGCTTGGCGCACCGTGTCCCCCGCCGCCAGGAGCCCCCCACAACTGACGGTGTTGGTCACCAGCAGAAGGCGGCCTTGGAAGAGCGGCTTCCAGTAGACGGCGAACCCCCCAAAGAGCTGCCGCCCGCGGGCCATCATCCTCCTGGCTCTTCCCCTGGGGAGGTGGAGCACCTGGAGGGGGGAGAGAAGGATATCAGGATGTGGGGGGGGGAAGTCTGTGGCTGTCTTCCAAGGGGTGGGCAGGATGGTACCTCTTGTGGCGCAGGTCATCACCCACCCCATCATCCACCTGCAGCAAGGCAGTGGGTTTCTCCTTCACGTTTCCAACAGGATTCTTTGCGGAATTTGCATTCAGGACGACTGACCGTTGAGGAAGTCTGTCGTGTCTTTCTGGGGTGACTCAATGGTGCTGAGCCTTCCACAGGGTTGATTCCTGTTCTCCCACAAAACCAGGAAGAAACAACCCAGGAAAAATCTTCCTCCCCTCCTCCCTTCAACTAAGCAAATTGTGGAGAAAGCCCACCAGAGATGATCCGAGATCGCCGGGTGCAACACTATGTTGAATCAATGCTTATGGGTGGATGTGGATGTCTCGGGGGGGGGGATCTGAGGAGGGCAACGCAAGGGTGGTAAAAGGAAGAAGACCTGTTGGATTCCAAGCGCCAGAGAGGCCTTCTGCCCATGCTCCAAAGCACTCGTGTTCCCAGTTTAAGAAGGGAGGGGAAGACAGAAGCTGCAGTCTGCCCTCTGCACGTGCTCAGAGGCACGCTCGCCACCCTTCTGGGAGGCCGGCATGGTTAACCCCCCCCAAGCACGTGTGCGGAGCCTTTATGGGACGGATGGATGGAGGGGGTCCCTCTCCCTGCCCCCCCAAGCAGCTTGACCCTTGACCTTCCCCTACCTTTCACCTTTGACCTCGCTTTCCCTTCCCCCAGTGGGCCAGGGCGGTTGCAGGTCGGGTCCCGATCCGGACGAGAAGGTTCCACCCGGGAGTGGTGAAGGGAGAGGAAGAAAGGAGGCGGGATGAGGAGTCACGTGCTTGCAGGTGGCATCACGTGCTCAGGGAGGGCGGCCATGACAGAGAAGTGCTGGCGGAAGTACCTCCTTTTCCAGGAGTTGGGAGGGGGAGGAAAGAGGTCGCAAGGCTGTATTGACTGCCCTGGTTGGAGCAAAATCACTCCTTTTTGAGGGGGGGGGAAGAGACTACAACTCCCAGCTAGCTAGAGGATTTTGGGGGGTTTATTTATTTATTTATTAGATTTCTATCCCGCCCTTTTAGACAAAGTCTACTCCGTTGTAGTCCCCCTCAAAGTATGTGAGATTTCTCCCTCCCCGCAGCTGTTTCCTCAGCCCAACTGCACCCTCCTGTGCCTTAGGAATTACAAATTAACAGTTACTAACTCAATTACAAGTCAAACGTTACAAAGGCAATTACAAATGCAAAACGACGAAGCGAAGGACCGGTTGAAAATTGCAAACAACGTTAGCGATTGAGAGAATCCATCACACGCTTCATTGCACGCCGGCGTTACAAGGCGAAGGGCCAATTAAAAACGACGCGATTAATTAATTAAATCACTGGTTCTTAACCTTGGGTTACTCAGGAGTTTTGGACTGCAACTCCCAGAAGCCTTCACCACCAACTGTGCTGGCTGGGGTTTGTGGGAGTTGCAGTTCAAAAACATCCGAGTAACAAAGGTTAAGAACCACTGAATTAAATGACGATGAAGGTAAAACGACAGCATTTTCTTCGCTCTTTCGAGCGCTCCCCGTGAGAAGAAGAAAAAAGAGCCGGGCTACGTTCTGCGCACGCGCCCCGTCGGAAAGCCTTTGCGGAGGCCGGAAGTGATCCCTGTCCATCTTCCCCTCCTCCGGGAGGGACTGGAAATGCGACGTTCTAGCCCCGCCGCTTCCGCCTTCTCAGTGGCAGGGGCCCCCCGACGCCCTCGCCTCCCCATTCTGCGCATGCGGGGCGTCGCCCGCCGGCGTCTTCTCGCCTACGGGAGTCGAAGGCGGCGGGAAAAACAAACTGTTTCCTCGGAGGAAGAAGGGGCGGCACCCCCCCTTTCCCGACTTCCCCTCCCGGGGGCCCCGCCATGGACGAGGCCGGGCCCGGGGCCAGGCCCAAGCAGAGAGGTAGCTGAGCGGAGGGATAGTTCCTCCCCCCGGCACTCTGCACATGCTTGAGGGAGGCATGCCCTTTGCCTTCTGAGGGGCGCCAGAAGTGGGGGCTGGGGGGCTGTTGCGAATTAAGGATCAGGGAAGGGGGGGCGGAAGGCCTTCTCTGTCCTGAGGGGGTGCCCTCTGCCCCTGCTCAGAGGCAACCTTCAATTATAGAGGGGGAAAGGGAAAAAAACCCAATAAAGCTCAGAGAGAGAGAGAGAGGAATTTAAAAACATCCCCCAGAATTCCCCGAGGAGTCTCTCCCACCTCGATGCCCTACGCGGATGTGAAGAAACGCGGAAGGGGCGGACGCCCTCCAGGGAAAGGTCTCTGGCTCCCCCTGGTGGCCCGTTCTCGTAATGATGCCCTGGAGAGGAGAGGTCAAGTTAATGCATTTCTGGGGTTTTTATAATTTTTCAGCCCGCACATACAGATCCCGTGGATAGGGAGAATCCTAGTGAATAATACATTTGCAACCACTCTGTTTTCCCCCCTTCCTCTCTTGTACCTTTGTATCAGAGCTTATTTCTCACCCTTTTCTTTTGTTTTTTTTGTTCGTTTAGGGGGAAGAATTGTGCCTTCTCGTTATATGCAGTACGAAAAGAAAGCGGCTGGAAAGGTGAGGTGTGAGAGTTTGGACACTCCGTTCCACATTGGTGTGTTCTTGTTTGTCCGTTTGCCCTTTTTTTGGACAGCAAAAGGTCTTGGTTTGTCACCAGAGACGTTCTTCCTAAGAGAAGGGGGAAAAGCTTGGGTTGCGGTACTGCTGCTGAAACCCTGTGCCATGGGTCTCCCTTTTCAGGGTGAAGAAGACTAAGGAGAGACGGTTACCAATCCTAGATTACTCTTTATGTTATAAGGAGTAGGACCAAGATAAATGATCCATTTAAGAGGCGAGTGTGGGGAGATGATTCTGGGTGTGAGTTCTCACCCAGCCCGGTTAGAAACCAGCCCTGCTGACAAGGGGAGGGGGGAGCACTTCTTCCTCCTTAAATATGCTTAAGCAGGGAATTTTAAGACGCAGGTTTGAATGGGCCAGTTGCTCAATGGCATCCACACAGGTTGCATGCGAATCCACGGCTCACTTGCTCCGTCTCTCTGTTTCCTTGGCAGGCGGCCTCGGATGCCAGCCTGTCCTTTGCTAAAGGACTAGAACTGACCGCCTCTCCAAAGAGACACCCCGGCCACTTTAGGAAATACAGAAGCACGGCAGGTGAGCGTTAGCCTCAGCCCGCCGCCTCTCTTGGCAAGCAGGCTGCTGTTCCTTCGAAGCACCCAGAGGAGAAGCTTTCTCGTGTTCTTGCTTTCCCTCAGTAGGAGAGGTGGAGGAGGATTTGGTGAAGCATTCCAGATGTGGGGTTTCCTGTGGCGCTTCACGTGCCCTAGTTGATGAAGCCCAAAGTTATGCAGGGAGGGTGGTTTTGCCGTGGCTGATTTTTTTTTTCATCCAGGAGCATCTGGGGAAGAAGGGCCATTCCCAGAGGCGAGGCCCTGATTTTGGCAGAACTAGGAGGTAGAGCGGGATCTCGAAGGCAGTTTTCCTCAAAAAAGGGGCTTCTCAGGAACCTCAACATCTGGTTTGAAGAGCATTGGTTTGCAGTCCAAGGTGGCGGATGCCAGAGGCCAGGACTACCTTTCTGGGGCTTCCCCATCCTTAAATTAGACGCCCAAGGTCTACTTCTGGTGTTGTAGAAACTGGAAGGGTTCAGGGGGCGTAGTTGGGGCCCAAAGAGGGTGTGGTGCAGCGGGACTTGTTTCGTGTCTTAAAAGAAGCTGGCTGTCTCCTGCAGGCTTCTGCAGAGAAGGCCTCCTTCTGCAGCTGGAGATAAACACACAGAATCCTAACATCATGGCATTGGGAGGGGCCTCTAAGGTCATCCAGTCCAACCCCCTGCCCAAGGCAGTTCAGACCGGATGGTAATCCAGTTTTCTCCCAAAAGGTCACCAGAATCTGAGGGCTCGGCTGCTCTCGAGGCCACAGGCCTTGTTGTTGTTCTGCTCTAATAGTTAGGGCACTTTTCCTGATGCTCAGATACAGGTACCTGTATGGAATGCGGTTATTTTGGGTAGGGAGCATGTGACCCGCCTGTTTTCCACTCCTGCCTGCAGTTTTCATCCAGAATCCTGAAGGGGGTGGGGGTGGGGGACAACTCATCTTGGGCTACAATTTCCTCCTCTTCTCTTCCAGAAATGACTCCTGGTGTGTTGCAATCAACAATGGTGGACAGCCACGCAAGCATCCGACCAGACCTGGAGTTTTCCGCCATTAACGGTAGACCCAACAGCGGCCACTCTCGTCATTTGAAATAAAAACCGAGCTAAGCCTGTGCTTTTGTTGTTTTAAAATACCTTCCGGCGGTGTTTTTATTCTACATTTTAAATGCCGTGTTTATTTAATTCTTTTTAGATATTTATGTATCGCACTGTTTTTGGAGAAATAGGAAATGAAATGGAAAAAAAGTCTGCTGGTCCCCAAAAGCAATACAGTTTGTTTCTTTATTTAATGAAAATGTTTCTCCCCCTCCCCCCGCCTTTCTCCTACAAATACTAAGAGCAGGTGATACCTGCTGTTTTTTGTTTCCATGTATAGTTTTTTAAAAGACATGAACCATTTTGGATCCTCTTTGAGGAGAAAAGCAGGGTGAAAATATTTTAATTAGATAAATAAGTTTAATATTTTTTTTAAAAAGTCTTTTCATTCTTTAGAAATAAATAAATTTAATTAAAAAGTAAAGAAAAAATATTTTTAAAAAAAGGAGAGTGTGGGTTTTACCAGTGCTTTTTAGTCCCTTGTGGTTCCTCACCTCTCAGCTGCAGGCCGATGTTTGGGTGGGTGGGGTTCTTCTGAGCTGGGCCTTCATTTCGGTGTTTCTTTGTCTGTGTACAGAGAAGCTCCGCCACAGGACGCCGATTTCAAAGAACAGCACTGAAGGTGCCAGTGAAAAAAAGCAGCCCTTGGTGAGCACTTAAACCCTTGGGTGGGCGGGCAGGTGGATGGGTGGGAGAAGCAAAGCGAGTCCTTGGGGGTGTGGAATCCAACATATTGGTGCTTTTAAAAGCTTGTGTCTGTTCCAGGATATGATTAGATGGAAATCTTGGTTTCTCCCAGGTATCAACCGCTCCTGATGATCTGATCGAAATGCTGGACTCGCAGGCCCTGCTGTTAATCTACGCTTCCATAAAGGTTAAAAGGGCTGACAGACATCAGCTTTAATAAACCCTTTAAAAAAATTAAAACTTTTTGAACTGTTTTCCAACTGAGGAAGGTTTGGCTGTTCTTCTACACAGATAGAGAAGAACCTGTCCCGTTTGGAAGAGAAAGCGGAAAGGAACTTATTAACCCTCTCGGCGGAAGTGGAGAAGCTCCAGAAAGAGGCGCACAGGAAGAAGCGGAAGCTGCAGCACCAACAGAAACAGCAGGAGCTCTCCGAAGCCCTGGACAGGCAGGTCTGTGTGCTTGTTGGTTTCTGTTTTCAGAGAACGGTACGTTAAAAGCATGCTGCTGCTTCTATACTGTACGGCCCCCATAGTGCTGAAAGCACCCTCTGGAAGGGTTTATAGTTTAGTTAGGCAAGGCAACACCTTGCCCCCCCCCCCAACCCCAAGCAAGCTAGGTGCTCAGTTTGGCAACCTCAGGAAGAGGAAAGGATGAGTCATTCTTGAGAACAATTAAGTCCTCCCTGGGTAGAATCGCAGTCCAGGAGAAGTGGCCTGGTAGCAAGGACCGTGTCTCAGCGAAGCGGCTTAGTCCTGCGTAATGATCAGGGTAGCCTGAGCTGTTGGCCATGCACGGTGTGAAGGGGAGGTGCTGCCCCCAGCTGTTGGGCGGTGCTGCTGTCGTCCTCTTTCGTGGCTCACCCCACCGGCGCCCTTCCCTTTGGAGCTTGGAAAAGTCATTTTCCTGGATTCGGACACCCAGCACGCCTTTGCCAGGTGCTGCCCCCAGCTGTTGGGCGGTGCTGAACACCCAGCACGCCTTTGCCGGCAAAGGCTGGGGTTCCGCTGCCTAGAGGACTCTGGGAGTCACAGTTAGAAGAGGGAATGTCTCAGAGCACTGCTTCCAGGGTTCCTCAGCAAAGCAGGAATGCCAGATCCGTGCTTTAAGCGGTTCCTGGGCTTTAGGATTCCGACAGAAGGGGTTATGGAGGGTTTCAGAGGCCTTGCTCTGGGTCTTCGGACTCACCTTCGACCCTCTTTGGGTTTTCCAGCTGGAAGCCCTCGGCCCTCTTGCCCAGCAAGCCGCACGCTTCAAGGACCAATACCAGCACTTTGCCACAGCCCTGGATGCGACGCGCCATGAGCTGCCGGTGAAGGACATCTACCTGGGAGAGAACAAAAGTCGGTACCTAGGTAGGGAAAATGCACGTCTCCCTTGCTGTTCTTTTTTTCTGCCAAGTTATTTGCCTGGGTTGCTTTTTAATCTTAGTTAAGGTCACGTGTTGCTGGTGGGAGAGCCCAAGGGTTGAGGTCTCTGGCCACAGAGCCAGAGGTTGGGAGTTTGAATCACCCTCCCCTCCAGGCCTACTACGAGGAGAGCCGGCCTGGAAAGGAATTTCGACTTTCTGAGGCGTCTAGGACACTCACCGCTCTTCACAGTGTTTTCAACGGCCAGCAGACCCCCCACAAATTTCATCACCCCATTGTTTTCTGTTTGGGCTGACGCCTGATCCCATCGGCCCTTCCTTTTGACAGATGACTTGCAAGAAAGGCTGACTTGGGCCCAGAAAGTTCTGGCCGAAACCGTGCAAGAGCACACGGCCGAAAACGGCAGAGCTGTGGGCCTTGCAAAAGAATTAGAGGAGGTGTCTCTGAAGGTGGATGCAGAGCTGCCAAGGTATTTATAAAAACAGAGCCAAACACAGGGTATGTTTGCAGACTGTGTTCTTTATACACGTGGGTCGTGGGGGAAAATGAGTTCACAAGATTTGCAGTAGATATTCCCGCCCCACCCTTCGGAACTCAGATCCTTCTAGGGTGATATCCAGATACCAGTGACAACTGTTGATAAAAGTATAGTAAAGAAGCACGAAGGCTTAGGATCTTTCCCACGTCCACGGGAGGCTTCCTCTCGGAGGGCTTCTGGCGTTGTGTCCTTCCTACCTCCAGCCATATTTTCATCCCTCTCTGTCCCTCAAGACGTTGGGAGGGTCCTTGGAGAGTGGCTCCTCCTGCTGCTCATTTTTGGATTCCTCCAGAAATTATTTCTTTAGACACAGGCAACGTCTGGAAGCTGGCTGCCTCAAAGGTCTGCTAATAGCTACCTCCTTATATGGTTTTAAAAGGGGATGGATTATTCGTTTGTTTACTTCTTTACTAGAGCATTTCTTACTTTTCTGGCCCTCAGCACTTTGAAAGCAATTTATAATAAATGTGTTTAAATAATTAAAGACAGACTTGAACCATGATTTTGCAACATGCTGAAATGTTCTTCAGAGACAGATGACCTAAAATTCCCGGCGACTCGTCCATGAGCGTTCGTCCCAGAGCTAATAACCCTTTCACCGGTTCTCGCAAAAAGATTTAGGTGTCTTCTCCTCACTGTCTAGCAGGTTCTCCACCCTGCCTTTTTCACATTCTTTTTATTTTTTAACTTTATTTTGTATTTCGTCCGTCTTCTCCCCGAGGGCCTTTGCCGACGTGCTCGACCTGTCTGCCGACGTGAGCAAGGAGGCTTCGCTGCATTTCCAGAAACTGTGTGAAGACGCCCAGGACCTGGAGACCACCAAGCGGCTGTACTTCAGCTAAGCGCCGGGGCGGATCTCTCGGCCCGAAGGACTGGCCGTCTTGTTTCACTCAGGCCGTGAGAGGACCAGGTGAAAAAGGATCGGATCTCTGTGGCACCGAGGAGAATCCCAGTTCAGCCGCCCTGGCATGAGAAGGCTGGTCGCTCCTTCGAGGAGGGAGTTTGGCAGCCTGGCATGGAGGGAGGGCGTGCCCCTGGCATTCTGGGAAACACAGAAGGATGAACCAGAAAGACGCCCTTCGCCTCACCCTCGGGCTTCGGAGATCAAGTTACCATTAACACAGCCAAGCACTTAGGGTGAATGTGGTCATTGTGCATTAAAAACACAATTGCTGGGAGTTCGGCTTCTGCAGCCTTTGTTTCGGGTTGTCTGCTCGTCTGTTTCTTGCCCGGCCGGGCCTCGTTAAGCGTTGAAGCATATGAACCAGAAAGACGCCCTTCGCCTCACCCTCGGGCTTCGGAGATCAAGTTACCATTAACACAGCCAAGCACTTAGGGTGAATGTGGTCATTGTGCATTAAAAACACAATTGCTGGGAGTTCGGCTTCTGCAGCCTTTGTTTCGGGTTGTCTGCTCGTCTGTTTCTTGCCCGGCCGGGCCTCGTTAAGCGTTGAAGCATCCTGGACCTTTCCATCTGCCCATCGGGGAGTGGTGCTACCGTCATCATATCTACCCGGTAGCCATCCATGTAGCCACAGAGGACAACACAGT